TTTCCTCTCGAAAAAGGAGTACTAAAATTCTTCTTCAGGTGTGGCTCAGAAAAATGACTCTTCCTGGTCCCAGACCATGCTTTTCTCCTTCATTGTATCATTGGCTGGTTCTCTTCGGTTAAATAGCCTGTTCTAAATTTCATACCGTTTGTGTCTGGATTTGTCCACTAATGCTACTGTCACCCAGGTGTGAACTCATTGATTCTCCAAGTTACCCTGGGTGATTAGAAGTTAAATATCTGTAACCCCAATGTTAACTAGTTAAACTGGCTGAAACTACCTCTACCCCATCTTCAGTGTAGCAAGTGCACAACTGATATGTATCCAACTTCTGAAAGACATAGATACATTCTAAGGCACATTATATGCCTGAAGTTTCTTCTGCCTTTCAGGCTTCTGCAAGTTTCATATGGTCTTGGTCCTGCATCATGTAGAACCACATATGAAATACACCCTGTACACTCCCCACACATGCAACAAAATCCATTCAAACACAGAAGTCAGGATCCCAGCACACTCTACTGAATAACTAGAGGGAACAGGGAAGGAAAGATCCATCATGGACAGCCCAAGAAAACAGAACTTCCTGCTTTCTAGTCTATTACTGCCTTCAGGAATGTCATATCCAGCTATTTATCTGCTTCTGTCCTTCCCTGCCCTTCTCCAGTTTCTCCATAGGTCAAGCGGTGCATCTGACTCCAATACTAACTCCCAAACTTGTTTAGCCAAACCTATCAAATTTCTCATCAAACATTTAACAAGACCTATACATGTTACAAAGCAATTAGAGACACAAGTAGCCAACTGTGTGTGTGTGTTTGTGGGTGTATGTGGATCCCTCAGAAGCTCACATCTGTTATATCTCCAGCTCCAAATTCTTCTATCAAATTTTCCCTTTTTTGCTCTGAATTACACCTCTAATTTTTTCTCTTTTGTATCACTCAAATGTCTTCAATCCTCCCCATTACTACATACTTTAAATTATACATGTAACCCACTGCGATGCTAACAACAAAGAGTGGGAGAAAGTGATTATGTTGCAGCACAGCTCAACAAACAAAACCAAATCTGAGCCAGCTCACTCTTAACAGCCCTTACATCCTTTTCAAGGCCAATAGAGATGAGCCTAGATGTTGAGGATGTGGATTAATTGCAACTTCCCACATGGCTGCTATTGTGCCCTTGTTTATATCCACCTGGGAACACTGCCTAACACTGTTTACAAAAGCTATGTATGTGCCCTGCAATTTCATTCCTAGGCATATACCTAACAAAAATGTACACATATTTTCACCAAAAAGACAGGTAGGAAAATGTTCACAGCAACACTGATTTTAATAGTTAAAAATCAGAAGCAACTCAAATAACCATCAAAAGTAGAATAAATGAATGAGATAATTATACAATGTAAGACAACACAGAAATGGGAATAAGTATAACTTAACATGAATACAACATGGATAGGTCAAAGGAACACATTGAGTGAAAGATGGCAGATCCATGTTCTGGCTTCTGTTCATGGAAGGATTTCTTTATGAAAAATTAAAAATAGCCCATACTAATCCATGGTGTTGGGAGTCAGGATATTAATTACTCTTGGGATAGTGAATTGAATAGGGAATGAGAATGGCTTCTGCAACTCTGGAATGTGCCACTTCTTTTTTTTTTTTTAAGAGAGAGAGAGAGGAGAGAAAGAATTTTAATATTTATTTTTTAGTTCTCGGCAGACACAACATCTTTGTTTGTATGTGGTGCTGAGGATCGAACCCGGGCCGCCGAACGCATGCCTGGCGAGCGCGCTTCCGCTTGAGCCACATCCCCAGCCCCCACTTCTTGATTGTGTCTGGCTACACAGATGTGTTCACTTTGTGACTGTTAGGAAAGCTATACACTTATGGTCTGTATGTGTGTTTATGTGTGTGTGAGTAAAGGGTTAATAGCAGACCTGTTCCCTTTATCTCCAAGACCTAGGTCTACCTGGGGAGATTTTTTATTTACTATCTCCCAGCACCAGTCCTTTGGAAATGACCTAAGTTCAGATAAATTTGCAATGTCAGGTGCCAAGTCAGAACCCTATTATGTACATTGTGAAACCTGTAATCTGAGGCACAGCACAAAGGGCTGAGAGACCTGTGGACTGTAAGCCTATATGACTGGTAGGCAACCAAGGGAAACTGTTTCCATGAAGGTGAGCCACAGAGCACGGCCTCATCCCCAGCAATCATGCACACTCTAGGCAGGTGAGGAGGGAGCTAGGCATCCGAATCCATGGAGAGTCTGGAGACTTTCATGGAGACTGAAGGCTGTGCATATTCTGTTTCCTGTCTTGTATCCTTCTCCAAAGCTAAGAAAACTTAGTGGTAGATGAAATGCTGTCATATCTTGTCAGTTTGCTTGCCAGTCTCCACATATTATCTATGAGTTGATGGGACCATGTATTGCACTTCAATAAAAAGTTTACTAAAGAAAGAAATTCCTGTGACTATTCTTGCCCCCAAATAATTTTCACTGATCATATCTTCTGCTTGGCCTCCAAATCCTTTTCCATTTTTTCTAAACCTCCTTTCTGCCATTTGACCTTGTGCCTGAGAGGCAAGCACTCTACCAACTGAGCTATATCCCCAGCCCCTATTGTCTCTTTTTTTAGGACTGTACAACCAGTCCCTAAAACACTTGTTCATTTCTCATGCAGAGCTGTTTAAATATTGTACTGTCTCAACTACCCACAGAGACCTTGTGTCAATAGCAAACATTAAGACTAGTTGCAAAACATAGCCCATACCCAGGAGAAGTTGTGTGGTAACCTCTTTAAAAAAAATTTTTTTTTTATTTCTTCAGCTAAACAAGGAATGGAACATCTCTGTCACAGACATTTGTATTCACATGTTATCTGAAGTCTTATTTATTGAGAAATAGCTCTAGTTATTCTTGTTTCTAATTTAGTATCTTAAACTTTCCTGATGTGTTAAAACAAAGGTGTAAAGATTGCCTCCAACTGCCAATATGTACTCTGGGAAGTGCAGTTGCAGTCACATGACCCCTTAGAATGACTTACCTCTGGGTGTCACTCTTTGCTCTGTACTTTGTACCTCTTTAGTGATGGCAGATGCCCTATAGTCAGTGCTAGCTTCTCACTGTTTGTTTCTGGGGCTTTGTTAATTTGTTTTTATTGGTTTTCTTTTTTAAGGGAATGAGGACTTTAAAGCTTAATAAAAATAGAAAAAAAACACCTTATTTCATATACAGATAACACATTAGTTTTTGTATTGTGCACTTTTGCTGTTAAAATAGTCACCTGCCCTTTCTTGAGATAGACTTTGTTTTATTTGAATTAAGGTCTCAATAGTTTGAGTGTTCTGTCTTTCCTCACCATGGCCAGAGTCACAAAAGAAAGGGTGTGATAGTGTCAGAAATATCTCAGAATCTCATGCAAACATTTCTGAAACCACTACTTGATTGATAAAATCTTTTTCTTGTACCTTCTTCTTGTTTGATGTAATGCAAACTTATTGAGCACACTGATATTCAAAGAATTCTGAGTGGAGAAAATATGATCTAAAAGCCACCAGCAACTTAGACTCTAATGAGAATCATAAACCATGTTCCTCCAGAATATCATGTAGGGTGGGACAGTATACAATTAACACACATATATTGTTAGTCTTATGGTGATTACACTTGTACTTTCTCCTTATAGGACTTCTGCAGCACTTAGAATGATTAAAACCAATTTCCAACCATTTCTACAAATAGTGCAAAAGAAAGTAAGATTCAGTCATGATTTCTTGTTATTTCATTTTGAATTCAAAGTCCTAGACATCAGAAATAATGAGTCAGTGTCACATTTTGGTAATCTTACTTTGTGTCTCCTGCCTTGGAAAGAATAAGTCATCTTATAGAAAAGTAGAGGAGGCATTTACTATGACAAAATAAGGTTTCTTAATGTGTCCAGCCTCACTTGTACACAGTGTGAGATCTCAGAACTGAAATCAGTTCTGAATTCCCCTAACAATGGTCATCACTGGAAATGGAAATATCATCAAGGTCTGTTCAAGGGGGAACTTTGGTTAAGTCCTATAATAATGTTTAAAACTGGAATACAAGCAACCATGTGTAAAATAATCACATATGTACAAAAGGTTGTTAAATAACATATGGTAAGATTTACTAAAGACATTTCAGAATACTCACACCCATGTAGTTCCTAAAAGTATGATTTCTATAAAGATCTGTACAGTTACAAAGCACAAAATTCTGCTACAGAGGCTCCTTTACTCCATGACCTGGCAGAATCCACTTTCACCTTCTATGCATGGAATACTGAAGTACAAAAGTCACTCTTCTTTAGGAAAGAAATTTCCTTAGCCTTGGGAAGATTCAGGTTCTCAGTTATCGCCATGAAGAGCAGTCACTAGGAGATTTGTTATGGAACCTGTTTTAGTCAGCGGTTTTTCTGTGGTGACCAAAAGACCCAATAAAAACAATTTTAGATGAGGAAAAGTTTATTTTAGGGTTCACGGTTTCAGAGGTCTCAGTCCATAGACAACTGGCTCCATTCCTTGGGGCTTGAGGTGAGGCCAAATATCATGGTAGAAGAGTGTGGTGGAGTACAGAGGCTCAGGACATGGCCATAGGAAACAGAGAGAGTCCCCTCACCACAGACAAAATAAATACTCCAAAGTCATGTCCCCAATGACCTACGTCCTCCAGACATATCCTACCTTCTTACAGTTATCGCCCAGTTAGTCCCTATCAAAGGATTAAAGCACCAATTAGATTAAGGTTCTCATAACCATTCATCTCACCTCTAATCTTTCTTGCATTATCTCACACATGAGCTTTGGGGGGATTCTAATATCTAAACCATAACAGAGTCTTTTTTCCATCTTCACATATAGATGTGAAAGATATGACAGGAGTGTAGAAATCCCTCTCACACATGCAGAAAAACTATTGTCAGAATGTTCTCAAACTTAAAACAATTTGAAAAGCCTGTGATCTCTGCCCTATTTCCAGGAATCAGCAGCTCTACAGGAAGACATTCCCTTTAGTGGCATCCCACTCATGATTAGCTCTTGTGACAATTTCGCAAGATGATCCTCTGGGTTGGCATTGCATTTCAGGTCACCAGGTTTCTGCAATTTCTGTGAGCACTTGTAGCAACTCAGTAAATGCTGGGCGGCCTTTAGGGGTCTGGAAAAGGGAAATGAAGACGTCAGCTCAACTGATAACACTCAGACACCAGCTGTGGATCTTGTTGGCAGAGAATGGGATCCAGCCTGGTTCTCCGCAAAAAGAAAGAGAAAGACATCTTGGCTGATACACCATGGTGTGATTTGAACAAGGCAAGAGTGTGAAAATGTAAGAATAAAGATTACTGCAAAAATAAAATGGCTGGAACTGACTAGCTGGGCATGGTGGTGCATGCCTATAATCCCAGACTCTGGCGTGGGGTGGGGTTTAAGGCAGGAGGATCACAAGTTCAAGGTCAGTCTTAGTAACTTAGTGAGGCCCTAAGCAACTTAGTGAGACCCCCCCCCCATCTTAAAATAAAAAATAAAAAGGTCTGGGAATGTAACCAGTATCCAAACAAACAAACAAAAAACTATAAACACTAGCCACATGTGGTTATTTAAATTTAAATTAAGTAAAATTAAATAAAAGTTCAAGTTCACTTCTTCAGTCACACTAATCACTTTTCAAGACCTCAATAGCCAGAGGTAGCTACAATATTGACAGCGCAGATACGGAACATTTCCACCATTACAGAAATATCAGCACCACCCTGGAACCCTATTTGGATGATCTGACACATATAAGGGCAAAGAAGGATTTCACTCAAACAGCAAAAGACATGTTTCCATGAGGGACTTTGTGGATCCTGGGACACAGGCTGTGCTGTCTTTAGGCCCAGTCAATAAAATCCCTGGTCATGGAGCCAGGAATCAGAACATTTTTTTCTATTTCACTGATGGATGTGATTTGGCTCTGGATTTGTGAGGAAGAAGAAATGGCGCTGTTGTTTTCGGCATCCTTGAAATCTATAGGAAATGGAGTTATTCACAATATCTGCATTCTTATGCAGGTCACTGTCAGCTGAGTGGGGGAAGACACCACACTTAGTGGCTCATAAACAGAGGGTTCCAACAAAAAGGACGGAGCAGATGATAACAGCACACATTTGAGTCCTCTCTGAGACTCCAAAAATAAATTGTGGAGTCTCTTGAAGAGGCTGAAGTTCTGCAGGCAGAGCCTATAAAATGTGTTTATCAATGGTAATGTGATCTCATTTGAGTCTAGGGGTGCCTAAACACTTGGTGCAAAGTAATGGACACAGTCAACTTTTGCTAACAAATAAGCCAACATAATGGAAACACTGTTTTAATCAGTTTTCCAGTGACAGTTTGAGATTGAGGTCATTTGTTGATCTTTCTGGGAGCATCCATTTACCCCTCCCCCTTCTCTGTCTCCTATCCAACAGATACGTAACATCTCACTAAGTATTCTATGCACACTTACATGTATATTGTTTCATATACATTTGCTGAAGTTATGATGAATTTATCCCCTAATAAGTCCATCATAAGTTGAAAATATTATAAATCAAAAATGCATTCAATTCACCTAATCTACAGAACATCATAGATGAGTAACACTGTCCAACCTAGAGTTTTGGTTGTTTACTGTGATCATGTGGCTGCCTGGGAGCTGTGGCTTACCAACACTGCCCACTGTCCTTCAGGAGAATCATACCTCATTTTTCTATCCCAGGAAAAAAAATCAAAATTAAAAATATGGTTTCCATTGAGTGTATGCCACTTTTGTACTATTGTAAAGGTGAACTTTGGTAAGTCAAACCATTATAACTATCATGTGTATATTCCTGAGCTCTCTATGTTGTTATTGCAAGATGTTCTTAAGACAGCTGTTTGCTCACAACAACTTACTTAACATTTTTCTATATCTTTCAAGATTCCCTGTGGACCAATTAATCATGTGTAACATATTTTAATACATTGGGAATTTTCATAATTCCTGAAATGGGAACGAGCACATTGCTCTTGAAATACTGGCTTTCCCAGTGTCTGTGGTTTAGGAATGGAGTGATTTTTTTTTTCTTTCAGGCAGGAGGAAACTCCTCATGGGGCTGTGATTTTTCTAGCCCGAGACCATCAGCAGCAAAGAGAATAGAGCTCTCAAAGCCGCAGGGGAGTCTGATGAGAGCAGAGGGGTGTGTTGAGTCAGTGCCCAGAAAAGGCAGAACTGGGACAGAAACCCCTCTACTTTATTTTTTAAACTTGGCATTTCAACCAAAGAAGAAACGGGGCTCCTGAGAGATGATTTCTAAGTGGTGATTGCTGGCACACACTCTGCTTTCATTTCTAGTTTGCTTTTCTCTCTCCAGCAGGAGTCTTAAGTGCCATAGAGAGATGAAACCCATTCCTTCTAACCTTGAAAAGCAAGGAAAATCAAAGTGGAGTGAAGGAAATAAAACACCAGCCTTCTTTTTCCATGGGGAAGCTTAGCAAACCGTGGTTCTACCCTTGGGTTCACTGACCAATTCTCAAAAGGTCATATCTCATCGTTTTGGGCTTCAGTAACACCAACAGTTTCTGCAAAAACTCATCTTAGAAAGATAAGATTTGGCAGATATACTGAGCTCCTCAGCAGAGAGGCCACTGTGGAAATCAAAATGCACACATGACTGTACAGTGGAAGTTTCAAATAGAATGAGTATTTTGTCCCACAGGGTCATCAAGAAGACAAGCAGCTTTTACTGCCATGAGAGTCTTGGGTAACGTTGGTGAGAACAGGTTTGCTTTCATGGGCTGGGGCTGCCAACCAGGAAAGGCAGGACACTCACCTCATGCCAGCAGCTGTACATAACTTCATATACTGCCATGGGGGCCAGGTGAGGGCGATACAGCCGGAAACCGTTAGAAATGGCTTCCACGACTTGGAGATTTGACTTATTTTCAAAAGGCATTTTTCCTTCTGTGAAAACTTCCCACATTAAAACTCCTATGAATAAAATGCACAAAAACAAGAGGTTGGTGGGAAATTGTTACTTAGAACTGCAGGAACAGTTGACTTCAAATGACTGTTATTTTATTATTTTTCTTCTTCAGCCTTTGAGTTATAATCATCCAAAATGAGACTCTTCTATCTAGGAATCAGGCCATGCACACCTGAGTTTTTGAAGAGTACTGTAACTCAAACACAACCCCAGAGAAGGCAAAATCTTTCCTTTTCCATTTGTCTTGATGACCTCCATATTGGAAGAAAATGCTGGCGGCAATTTCATTTCCAAGTACCGCTCACATCCCCATGCCCTGAAATCAATGAGCCTTTCTGCTACTCCATAGAAAATGACAGAATTGTATGAACCTCTGCTGCCTGCTAAGTCTAAGTTTTTCAGCGGTGGGTGGCACAGGTTCCTCTTTTACTGAAATACTACACTGCTGGGCAGGGGCCTAGACTGTCTAGTGGGAACTCTGTACATAAGGCAGTGTTTAGTAATCACTGATTGATTGTTGATTGACTAGTGAAACTCCTTTAAGAACTCCCAATTTGAGTTCATTTAACTATAAACCTGTTTTACAAATATTTATTTGGTATCGGATAGAAACCAGGCCTATTCTTGGGCCGGATGATTCTATAAGAATGAAACTAGTTCACCTCCTTAAGAAGTTCACTGTCCAGGGAGGAAGAGAGAAAAGTGGTCAGGTAATATTTAGGCAGTTCTCATTGTTCTGTAGCCACTTGATGAAAGAGATGAAGCCCTCATATCACTATTTAGAGGTCTCATAACTCACCTATGCTCCCCAGTGAAGCATAAAACATTACCTACAGCACCATAAGGCAATGGAGAGGTAATGAGAACAACAATACAAGCATAACCTCACTATGGACAATAAAATTCATACCCTTCCTAAGGCCCAAACCCAAAAGTTATCCAGGAAGTTCTGAATGAAAGAAAATAGATGGGTTTTTGCATATTTATTGCCATGTTTTGAGAATCAAGCCAAAGAACAAACTTCATTAGACATGGTTCCATGGTTTCTCTTTCTCAGTGAAGAATATCACCCAGTATAAATTAACAAACCGATCCTAAAGACACCCATGTCTAAACCTACAAAATGTAAAGGTCATGAAGTAAATGAGATGGAACCACTTTTTTTTTTTTTCTAATTCAGGTTTTAAGTTCAGGTTGTCAACTGAGCAATTGACAAATAGGCTGCTTAGTAGTTAAGGAATAAAGTTTATTAAACACACATAAACTCAGTGATGACTTAAGATCATTTTTCCTTCAAATCTTTGTAAGATAGAAAAGTTGGTTGGGTTTGTTTGCTGGATCAGTAGAGTCTTTGCTAGGGTTTTAAAACAAGTGCTCACCAAGGAAGAAAAAGTTCCAGAAAGACAGACTCATGTAAAAGGTGTTTGATGCCAGTTGCCAAAGATGGTCTGGATGTGGTTAGAGCACAACAGGAAGCACAGCTACAAAAATACTTTTTTTTTTTTTTTTTTTTTTTTGGTACCAGGGATTGAACCCAGGGGCGCTTAACCACTGAGCCACATCCCCAACCCTTTTTACATTTTATTTAGCGACAGAGTCTCACTAAGTTGTTTAGGCCCTGGCTAAATTACTGAAGTTGACTTTGAACTCTGGATTCTCCTGCTTCAGCCTCCTGAGCCACTGGGATTACAGGCATGCGCCACTGAGCGTGGCATGAGAAGAATGTCTTTTAAAGGTCGCCTTTTATTAAGAAATAAAGATAAAAAGATTACCCATTTGATTAAAACAAGCAGCACCAAAGGAGCAGTGAATGCACTCACCAAATGACCAGACGTCAGATTTACTGCTGTATTTGTTGAAATGGAAAACTTCAGGAGGAGACCACTTGATTGGGAACTTGGCTCCAGAAGAACTGATATATTCATCATCCAAAACATACCTACAGTCACCAGAATCAAAACACACTGTGTTAATTACCTCCACGATCTATTAACTTAAAATCCCTGATTTGCCAAAAGACATATTTTACCCCAGAAAGGCTCTGTATACATTCTCTTCTCATTAGCAGAGTGTGAAATTATCCTTCAGAGGGTTTTCTCCCCAAACCAAATCTCATTGTGTTTATTTTCATTGGATCTTAGAAAACCATAACAATTCCTCAGTTCAAAATAGTGGCCTACTCTATATGTTTATTTTGATTCATTCTTAACTATATAAAGAGGCATTCCAAATGTTCTAACAGCCAAAATTATTTTTTAAAGATAGAGAGGAGAGAGAGAGGGAGAGAGAGAGAGAGAGAGAGAGAGAGAGAGAGAGAGAGAGAATTTTTTAATATTTATTTTTCAGTTTTAGGTGGATACAACATCTTTATTTTATTTTTGTGTGGTGCTGAGGATCGAACCCAGCGCTCCGCGCATGCCAGGCGAGCGCTACTGCTTGAGCCACATCCCCAGCCCCACAGCCAAAATTATTAAAAAAGAAATAAAAGACCAGACTTCTTAGACTGAAAAAGAATGAATTCTAAATTGAATGCTATATTTTCTTTCATGTACACATTTTTGTGGGGCATAGAGAAAGGGAAGGGAGAATAAAAGCATATGAGCAGAATACACTTTGATGTGAAAAATCTCTAAAATATTGGTATGATAAAAAAGAACTAGGAATTGGAGAAGATAATGCTAAGTGAAGTTAGCCAATTCCAAAAAACAAACGGCAAATGTTTTCTCTGATATAAGGTGACTGACTCATAGTAGGGTTGGGAGAGGGAGCATGGGAAAAATAGACGAACTCTAGATAATTGTCCTCTCCTTAAAAAAATATGAAACTCTCTCTCTCTCTCTCTCTCTCTCTCTTATTATTTTTTTTTTTTGTACTCAGAAATGTCAAAGTATGGGAATCTGGAGAGAAGATACAACAACTAATGTGTGCTTGTTGCCCCTTGAATGCACACTATAATTTTAAAATTATTTATTATTATTATAAATTATAATTATAATTTTTAAATTATGTATTAATGCTGCTCCCACACTCCCACTTTTCCCCCATGTACTCCATCTCACACCAACTTTAAGATCTCCCATATTGAGTCAGAGGTCATTCTACTTAAAGAATGAATAAGAGGAAATAAAGGAGCAAAAGGCATTTTCCATAGACTTGGAGTTTCTAGAGTCTACACAGAAAAGAAGGACTGGGTTATTAACAAGACATTTGGGGAAATGGATCATGAATTCTCACCAACACCACCACCACCATTCATCCATTTACCTAGAAAAAGATTCCCTGGGCTAAGAGGAAGGAAGAACTGAAGGGAAAGAAAAGGAGTACCAGGCATTGGTGATAACTTCTACCCTGTAAGGGCGGCCCAGGTCACAAAGGAGGAAAAGATGCTCCCACTCCTATATTGGGTAAATGAGACTCAAGATCAAAACAGAACCTATGCCTTCTTTCCCAGATGATGGCCCAGGAAAGGCAAAAATTCCAGAGAATAAATGACTGTGGATGTGCCTAGGTAAGTGAGATCTATGGAACTTTCTAGTCATAGAGAATGCCAGTTCTGAAGGAATTTGTAGGCAGAAATTCAGAATGAGTGAGAAGTCACCTGTGTGGTTGGCTGGCTGAAGCAGGAGGATGGTGGTGGTTACAAAAATGTCATTGTGCATGGATAACAGCAGGACCAGAGAAGTCACCTCCCTCCCAGAACCCAGCCCCATGACACATCTAGACCTGGGACACTGATGTTGAGAGAAACCCTGGATTTATTGATGTTCAGTTTCTAGTGCCCCCAAAGAAAAGGGGACTCAAAATGTTAATTACATTGAATTGCAAAATCCATGGCTAAATCTCTCACACTCTTGAGTTGTAGACTTGAAGCCAGCTACTCCACTCCATAATACATGTGTTTGATGGTGACCTAGAAAGTCATACATCTTTTCCTTTTTCTTCCAAAAATCTACACTTATCAGGAAAGTATTTTTCCTTAATCTTACACAGATGAGTGGACTGAGAAATTCTTTTTTGATTTAAGACCTACCATAGTTTTGTTAATGATGACCTGAAAGATAAGAAGAGCCCACGGTAAGTAAATGCCTATCTCACAGTTAAAACTGGCACATGTCCTGAAATCCAAAGTGGGTCAGCGGGCCACACAACCACACCAACACTTCCCCCAGATGAAAAGAGCAGAGGAGAGCATCTTTGATTTCTCCATAGATAAATGTTAAGATTCCTTATAATGAGTGAAAAATATAGATAGATATAAATATAGCTGATTTAAATTATATCTAGATTTATCACTTACCTGGTCATTCCAAAGTCCGAAATCTTTACTATACATGTAGAACTGACCAAACAATTCCTTGCTGCCTATAAAAAGAAGAAAATAATCCAATTTGACTCTCAGTTTTTCCTTCAAGAGTCTCTGAGCTGGGGGGTGTTGCACAGGGTGCTGGGTCATTCCCAGCACTGAAAAAAGCATCTGCTCTCCTTTTCCTTAGTTTTCGCACACCTCTTGGTGTGGCCAGCCATATTATTGTTATGATGATACCTATCAACGTTACATATGATTTAATAGCCTGCCTTTATAGGATGAATTTTCCTGATTCTTTAATGTAGTAACAAATTGAAATGTCAACAGTTTTTAAAATGTTTAATCTTTCTCATGAAATACACTTCATAAATATGAGGATTAATTTAATCTAACAATGATAAACAATGAGTCTTTGCCTAACCGTAGTATGTTTTGTTACTTATCAAGTAAAAGAAGAAGCCCAATATCCATGATAGATAAGAAAAGTCATTTCATATCTTTAGGATCTCTACTAGGTGATAAAAAATAAGAAATTATAGTTTAAAAACTGAAATTTCACTGAAGATAACTATTTTGTAGTGATAATTTCATATAAAATTACTGCAGTGAACTAAATATGGTACAATATAAAATCAACATAAAATAGTTGATTCCCAAACGCTCCATCTTTACCAACTTAATCAAGAAAATCATTAATTTGGTTGTTTAGCATCATAAAGTTGAACTGCTTGATAGAATTTTTTTCTTTTCAGCCAATTTGTGGTTCAATGGGTCCGGCAACAAAAGCAAAAACTTAGCCAGGTGCAGTGGTGCACACCTGTAATCCCAGTGACTCCAGAGGCTGAGGCAGGAGGAGCACAAGTTGGAGGACAACCTGTGTAGGGATTCTGACCGTGGAAATGTACAGGGAAGCATTCCCCTAGTAAGAAAACTCCCGGCGGGTTGGGGGTGTGGACAGTAATAGGCACCCTTAGAATGCACTGTAATCTCTCTTAGGATCTAATAATATAGCTAATAAATGTGCAATGTCTAGCTGGTACGGCAATGCTCTGAGATGCCTTTATGTTAGAGCTTCATCAAGCCTCGCCCTTGATTGCAGGCACATAGCTCCTGGGAATAGAAGAACTTGCTTGCTAGATAACTACAATGTTTCATCAAGCTCCTGTGCTCCTGGAGCTGCCTGCCTAACAGTAACTTCAGACAATGGACTTTCTTGAGAACTACACAAAGCTCCTAACATTGCATATTGTAACTGGGAAATGTACCTGCAGAATAAGCAACCTTACTGATACTCTAAATAATAATGTGGTTATGGTACTAATGACCTAATGTAACCTAGTGGTATAAATAAATGTGGCCACTTAGACAAAGAGCCCTGCCTCTGCATCTTGTCTCTCTGTCTCCTCTTTATTATTATTCCTTACAAGCCTGGGCAACCTAGAGAAACCCTGTCTCAAAATTAAAAGAATAAAATAAAATAACAAGAGCTGGCACCTGTGGGCACAATCTGTAGTATGAAAAAAAAAAAGAAAGAAAAAGGCAAGAAAGTTGAAATGGTAAACTGGAAGGAGCCAGCAAGGATAACGCCGGCAGGTACCAACAATGATCTCAAAGCCAAACCACAAGAATGTCCTTGACAGAACAGACTCGTTATTAGCTGATAAGTTTTATGGAGCATGTAGGTAGATAAAATAGAGTGTAAAGAAAACAATCAAGGGAGATACCAGGTATAGGAGAACCTGTGGGAAACTAACTGGAGCAAATAGAACAATGAAGATGGTCGCACAACTGAGTTTTGAATTATAACTCAGGAAAGATAAACCTATAGAGACAGAAAAGTGAGCTAGGTGCAACAGATAGCATATCCATCAATTCAAAAATTTGCTCGATAGCTCCTGTGTGCTGGATACTGGGAGGTGTGCCATGAGGGATGAAGAACAGGGATCTGTCCCTGTAATAGCCCCAATTACCTTGCAGAACTCTCAGATGAGCCAGGCACTGTTTAACGAGCTTGCACATAGTCATTCATGGACTCCTCCCACCAAACCCATACAAGGGAGTTACTATAGTTAACACTGTTTTACTGGTTAACAGGCTGGCCCAGGGTCATACAGCTAGTAAACAATGTAAAAAATTAACTATTATATGAAGCAGTAAAAAATGAAAGTCATGAGAGTTCTGAGTCATGGGTGGGATAAGCTTACTTCCCAAGATGTACCAGAGCCAAGGTAACTAGGCCTCCTTTCTCTCCCCTATATAACGAGGACAAGTGACAGAAACAGGAATGTGGTCACTCTTGGTCAGATGTGATGGAAGAAGAGGATTAGTTCTAGGTGACAGTGTCAGGGGTTTCTTACAGAACCTTCATATACTCATTTAAGTTAATTTTTATATTCAGAAATGAGACATGGAAGAATGTAGAAGGAATAGAATGAATATCTTGAGTAAGTGTGGAATGAACAGAACACATTATTGCAGGGGAGCAGTGCTGTTAACATTTGTTTGGGACAAGATAGTAATTTTTTAAAAAATCAGAATGTTCTAAGCATTTCTAGTCTCCTTCCCTCAGTAATGCCAATAACTGTCTTGCAGTACTGTCAGAACCAAACAGCTGCACACTGTGGCAACTGCACCCCGGGGAGAGAACCACTGGAATTCGCTCTTCGCTGTTGTCTCAAGTACCTAGAAGAGTGCTTGGCATAGACTAGGCACTTGGCACATGTTTGATTACATGTTCAAAGGAATAAGGTGGAAGGAAAGTAAATAGAAGGGAGAAAGCAAGAGGATAAACCAAAGTAAATCCATTGTGATTAACTGACGGGCTAGGTGGTTAATTAATTCAAGGCACATTTAGAATAAAATACTAGGTTACAACATCCCTGGGCAATAAAAAAAAGTAAAACTACATTTCACAACAAATTACATAAAAAGGAAAGGTTTTAAAATGAAGTCATAGGATATATTCTTCAAAGTATTGAAAGTAATGACCGTCTCCTTCCAAACACAGGTACAGTGGGTGAAACAAGAAGGGAATTTGCACCATACTCACTAAATCTCTGTGGATATAGCAGTTCCTCTCCAGATATTCCATTCCTTCACACACATCCTGGCACACACTCAGGAGCATCTCCTTCCTAAGCTTTCCTTTTCTGTCCCTGAGGTAGTTAAGCAGGCAGCCATTCTCCATAAACTCTGTCACAATATAAAGGGGCTTCTGCTGTATACATACCCCATAAAGCTGAACCAGCCTTGAATGGGATAGTTTCCTGTTGAAGAAAAACAGAGCAGTGAGCAGAATGGGTTTTGCAATTCAAAGTGTTTGTTTTACACAAGTGGCAATGTTTGCCATCCATATGTCGTTTTCATTGTCAAGATAAACATCAGCTCAACCACAGAGAGAGTATTTTTCTTTCCACTTCACACACTGAGAAAGTGGGGTCAGAAATTTAAGCAGCGCTTCCAAAGTCATTGTTGCCGTGTGTCATATTCTAGGTTAGCATTCTAGTTTTCTCCTTTCCGTCTTGTAAGCCTTCTGCTTCCTCATTACTGCTTCTCCAGGCCCAGCCCTCAGAGATCTGCTCCTTGACTCCCAACCTTTCTAATTTTCTCCACTCAGACAAAAACTCCTGGATGGACAGAAGAGAGGAGTGATCAAAACCATCAAGCTGGGCACAGTGGCATATGCCTGGAATTCCAGCAGCTGGGGAGGCTGAAGCAGGAGGAATTAAGCCAGCCTCAGCAATCTGGAGGCACTAAGCAACTCCATAAGACCCTGTCTCTAAATAAAATACAAAATAGGGCTGGGGAGGTGGCTCAGTGGTTGAGTGCCCCTGAGTTCAGTTCCTGATACCAATAAATACATACATACATACATTCTAAAGAGTAAAGGCATTTTCAATGGCTTTAGAAATTTTTAAATAGAGACTAAGAAAACATTTACCAACATGAAATCTTGCTTTGTATTTAGTAATTACATACACACAGGGACCTTGAATGTTGTCTGTTAAAACATACCCAGAAATTCCTAGTCATCTAGACTTCAAAAGTTTATTGTTTCTTCTGTGGAATATAAAATGCAATCTCTAAAGGCCTTTTATGCTAACTGATCACCATGGAAAATAACTTTGAATTAATGTTTGTAATTTTACAAGATGTATAATAAGCAATTCTCTGTTAGTCAAAAGTATTTTGAAAATTACCTCTTCTTCTCATTCAGAACAGTAAAATAAACTCAGTGACTCTGGAAGAATGTTTACCTTAAAACAAAGTACATGATGTGATTACAGACACATTACCATAAAATCGATTTGTGAAAACACTCCAGTTAATGGAGAAAAGGCACTCAGCGACCCTAAACATTATTTTAATTTTAATCTTGGATATATATATATATATATACACACACACACACACACACACACACATACATACATATACATACATCTACATATCTTGTCAGATTTACCTTCCAAGTTCTCAAAGTATACTTTCAGTTAAGGAATGCAGTTTATGTGTGCCAAGCAATGGCAAGAAAGCAAGTCTTGAAATGGAATATTAATTTGCCATAAGAAAGCCACCAACCTAATATCCACAAGGAAACATTTGAGAATCGAAACATTACACTGCATTGGCTTACAAGACCACTGGCAAAAACCTATCAGAACTAAGGCAAAAACAAATAAACAAACCCTCATGTATATTCAGTCTAACAAATAAGACAAATATTTCTCATCGGCACAGGAAAAGTACATTCTTGTTTGCTTTAAATTTAGTACTTCTTAAAAACTTAGAGAAATATATGAGTCATTGTAGAGCAAATGTCATTAATTTATCGAATATTAATAAATACCATTTATTAATATATTTGCTTATTAAATATTATTCATTATATATTCATTTAAATTTTTCAAATCCATTGTAGATTTCTCCATTGTACTTTTATATTTATTCCCTTTCCTGTTGAATCAAGTTTCATGGTTTTAAATATCATCTCTGGTGATCACTCTCAAATTAATGCCCTCCACCTTGACCTTCCTCCTGAACTCCAGACTCATGTATTCACCTGACCACTTGGTCACCATTGGCTGTCTGATAGGGCTCTCAAATTTAACATTTCCAAAGCAAAATTCTTAATTTTTCCCCGAACCTATGTATGTCAGTAAGTGAAACCCTCTAGCTATCGGTATACTTTGGAATCACTTTTGTTCTCCTGGTTTCCTCCCATTATCTTCCACATTTGGCATAACAGGTCTTGATCACTTTTTCTCAAACATGTATCTTGAGACAACTCTCTTCTTTCATCTTCACCTTCATTCCACCCACCATCATCTTCCACCTCGACCCCTGCAATAGCCTTCAACCTACTCTCCTACCCCTGATTCCTATCAATCATTCTCCACAAAACAACCAGTGTGACCTACATAGAATATAAACCAGATGAAATGCTTCTAATCTTCCTTGACCATCCAATCCAACTGAGCTCCCCAACCTTCCCATAATATCTTTGTCATATCATTTTGTTTGAAGTCTTTATCCTTACTTCTCTTCAAAGCTATACTGCTCCTTTGTTTGTTGGTCTGCTATCTGTTTTCCTCCCCATTTCCCACTAGAGCATGGGCATAAATGAACTTTTCAAGAGTAGGAAATTGACCTGTGCTACTTATCAACCTCTTTCTAGAACTTAGTACTTACAAAACCAGCAACAGACATTTATTGAGTGAATGGATGCAAGAAAACTGAATGATGACCCTGATGCTATATTTTTTTAAACAAAGCTGTAAGGGATACTATGAAATCTTTGTAAAATAAAATATTTCTAATTCAAGAGATTGCTGTGGATATCATAGCAAGAGTTTGCAATGTGATCTGCATTTATGCATGGTTTAGCACAAACTCAGGCAATTAGAGCCAGGCTCTGTCTTTCCCAGACGGCTGCCCTTAGGGTGTTCTGTCCTCTTTCTTTCTAACTCCTTACAACAATAGAAGAGTTCCTCAAAACTTACACTTCTGAAAGTAGATTTTCTTTTATTTTTCCTTTTCCTCTCATTCCTGAATCCTCCTTCTTTTCCTGATCTGCTATACTTCTAAAACTTTCTCTTCATTCACCTTGAAGTTTTTATTTTTTTAGGCATAAAAGAAGACTCAATACAATTTTATAAAAATTGAATGGAAAGAATAAAAGCTATAAAAAAAATAGCTCTGTTAGGAGAGATATTAGATGAATCCTCCCCCTTTCTCAGTTTTCCAAATGTCCTGATTTTAAGTGATATTTAAAATGTGTTTCTTATAGTATTATTATGTAAAAGCATTTAATTTTAATAATATTAATTATTTAATGTAAGTAATAGGGTCTAAGAATCCAATTAAAAACTTTATTATTAATTAATTACCCCTGGAGAAAATACTTCAGTAGGGAGAGAGAATAACAAATGGAATTTTCAATTCTTCTGTTTAGCATGAATATAAAATGTTAAAGCCTGTTTTTCAAAAACTAAAATATTCTACTGTGAAGACATGACACAGACATAATGAATCAAAAGAGATTCACATCAAAGCTCTTAGGAAATTAGATGTACTTACACATATTTTTCTTTGTTTTAAATCTTATAAGATCACGTATCTCCAGATAGTGCAAGGCTATTGATATGCTACATCTAAAGAGACAAACCCACAAATGAAAAACTAAAACAAAGGACCCACTAAAGGCAGATCAGGGTTTTAATAACTTAAAGGGAATATTTTACACCTGTTCCAAAGAGCTTCTTTCAAGTTTTTTGTTGTTGTTGTTGTTGTTTCTGTCCTATTGGCTACATGACTGGAAATGACTTATTTAAGCTTTCTAAGCCTCAGATTTGTATGCATGAAATGGGGATAATAAAACATTCTGTTCTTGCTTTCAGGGAACATTTAAGTGGGATCATGTTCATGAGCATATAAGAAATATAAACCCAGGTTAAAAATAAAAAACGAAGATGATTTAGAAGGTTTAATCAGATTTTATGTGCAGAAGTTATCTAAGGTGCAGACTGATTTTCTCTCATTTTGAACATTTTTAGAACATGCTCTGTAAACCCCAGCTAACAGGTCCCCCAGTGGAGGCAACATACAATGATCAAGAGCACAGCATATTAGGTCTTTAGGGAATAGACCGAGAAGGGGAATAGCTGGGTCAAATGGTGGTTCCATTCCCAGCTTTCCAAGAAATCTCCATACTGCTTTCCAAATTGGCTGCACCAATTTGCAGTCCTACCAGCAATGAACAAGAGTGCCCTTTTCCCSGCATCYTCTCCAGCACTTATTGTTGTTTGACTTCCTAATGGCTGCCAATCTTACTGGAGTGAGATGGTATCTTAGGGTAGTTTTGATTTGCATTTCTCTGACTGCTAGCGATGGTGAGCATTTTTTCATGTACTTRTTGATTGATTGTATGTCCTCCTCTGAGAAGTGTCTGTTCAGGTCCTTGGCCCATTTATTGATTGGGTTATTTGTTATCTTATTGTCTAATTTTTTGAGTTCTTTGTATATTCTGGTTATTAGGGCTCTATCTGAAGTGTGTGGAGTAAAGATTTGTTCCCAGGATGTAGGCTCCCTGTTTATCTCTCTTATTGTTTCTTTTGCTGAGAAAAAACTTTTTAGTTTGAGTAAGTCCCATTTGTTGATTCTAGTTGTTAACTCTTGCGCTATGGGTGTCCTATTCTCGGTCTATTCCCTAAAGACCTAATAAGAGCATGCTACAGGACACTGCTACATCGATGTTCATAGCAGCTCAATTCACGATAGCAAGACTGTGGAATCAGCCTAGATGCCCTTCAATAGATGAATGGATAAAAAAATGTGGCATTTATACACTATGGAGTATTACTCTGCATTAAAAAATGACAAAATCATAGAATTTGGAGGGAAATGGATGGCATTAGAGCAGATTATGCTAAGTGAAGCTAGTCAATCTTTAAAAAACAAATACCAAATGACTCCTTTGATATAAGGGGAGTAAACAAGGACAGAGTAGGGACGAAGAGCTTGAGAAGAAGATTTACATTAAACAGGGATGAGAGGTGGGAGGGAAAGGGAGTGAGAAGGGAAATCGCATGGAAATGGAAGGTGATCCTCAGGGTTATACAAAATGACATATAAGAGGAAAGGAGGGGTAAGACAAGATAATACAAATGGAAGAAATGATTTACAGTAGAAGGGGTAGAGAGAGAAAAGGGGAGGGGAGGGGAGGGGAGGGGGGATAGTAGAGAATAGGACAGACAGCAGAATACATCAGACACAAGAAAGGCAATATGTCAATCAATGGAAGGGTAACTGATGTGATTCAGCAATCTGTATACGGGGTAAAAGTGGGAGTTCATAACCCACTTGAATCAAACCATGCAATATGATGTATTAAGAACTATGTAACGTTTTGAACGGCCAATAATAAAAAAATAAAAATAAAAGTGGAATTGTTTCCCAGTGGGGAAAAAAAAAAAAAGAGCACAGCATATATTTGAATTTTGTTTGTTTGTGTTGCTGCACTGGAAAAACTATATGGTGACAATATTGGCTAACAGTTAAGGCAGCGACTCTTAAGATCTGCCATATATTGATCTATCAATAATTGTTGATTGTTGTGTTAGTTAACATTATGGGGGGCTGGGGATGTGGCTCAAGCGGTAGCGTGCTCGCCTGGCATGCGTGTGGCCCCGGGTTCGATCCTCAGCACCATATACCAACAAAGATGTTGTGTCTGCCGAAAACTAAAAAATAAATATTAAAAAATTCTCTCTCTCTCTCTTAAAAAAAAAGAAATTTATAAAAAGAAAAAAAACAAAACATTATGGGCTTTGTGCCAGATAGTTCAGGGTCCTGATTTCAGTTAGAAACTCAAATTGTGGGACTATAGATAAATTACATAAGCTTCCTAAATTTCCTTTTTCTCATCTATAAGATTAAGATCTATCTCCTAGAATTGTGGTGAGGATTCATTAACTTATTCTATAATCTACAAATTCTTATTTTAGCACCAAGTTCTGACTAGTCATCGTTTGGGGCACTCACCAGGTTGAATTGAGAGACACAAATAAATGGCCTTATTATTATGGAATTCACATTCTAGCAGGGGACTAACATGAAGCTTCAGAGTGGTGACAAGTATTTTGATGGAACGAATACAAGGTGACAGAACAGAAGGTGCCTGGGGCTGGGTGCTCCCACTTAAACAGAGTAGTCAGTGAAGACCTCCTGTAGGAGACAACATTCACACTGCACACCTTCAGAAAGGAAGTAACATGGGCAGAGCTGTGGATATGCAGCAGACAGAACTCAATGCATGTCAACTATTTAAAGATGAACGTATTTGCAATAGGATGCTAGAATGGAGCTTTTCCTGCCTTACTTAAAAAAATTTTTTAAAAACACATTCAAATCCAAGAGCACATTATGTCCATCTGAACTGGCTTAGAAGTCGTTGGCCTCATTCCTGCTTCTATAAACTGCCAGAAGCTCTTTCTATTCTCACACTACATACATCTTCCATCACCTTCAAAATATTATTCTCAGGAGATCAGTGGAGTAGATGAAGGGGATTAAAAGGGAGGGAGGAGGGACAGGAAAAGGGAGGAACTGTAGAATGAAATTGACCAAATTATGCTAGGTACATATACAAACATACTAGTGAATTCCACCTTTATGTATATCTATAAAGCACCAATTAAAATAAATAAATTAAAAAGGAAAAGCAGTTTTCATTGGTTCTTTTTAGTTATTTTTGTTATAATTATACAAGCTTGGAATATATCATATCCTAATTAGGACTCCATTCTTGTGAAGGTACACAGCGGTGGGATTTGTTGTGATGCATTCATACAGGTACATGGGAAAATTATGTCAGATTCATTCCACTGTCTTTCCTTTTCTTACCCACCCCCTTCCCTTCATTCCCCTTTGTCTAATCTCCTGAACTTCTGGAAACCAGTTTAATAGAAGAAGGGAACAGGGGGAGGAACATGAAAGGGAAAGAGGAAGCACTAGGGACTGAAATGGAGCAAATTGTTTAACATGTACGTATGGTTATGTCAAAATGAACCCCACTGTTATGCATAAGTATAATGCACTAATAAACACATTTTAAAAATCATCCCCAAAGATCCTAACCCAATTTCCCAACCAAGCTTGAATCATTAAAGAATTCCCTCATCATGATATCAGATATTGCTAATTCTTGTTTGATAGAGATTCCAATATGCCTTCAATTCCCTCTGAGTCCTACATCTCTCACTCATTTTCACATTATGCCTATTTAATCTAACACACAGGACTATAATTTTTGTCCTTTAGACATAGGAAAGCCATGGTCAGATGGATATCATATCCAAGAGAGCAGAGGCCAGGCAGATAGGTGCTTGAGCTACCTTGAGACACAAAAATGTCTTTGGGAAGCTGATGTCACTGGAAAATTGTGCTTATCATAACCTTCCTTTGGATTCATTCTATTATGTGGCCAGAAAGACATTTTGATCCACTACTTGGGAACAAAATTCAGAAAAACCAAGACATCATTGCTCTGCCTTCCAAGGAGAACGGGTCCAGCTGATCAGTTTGGGTTGTCGTTGGTCAGTTTTGGTGTTGTTTTGTTTCCAATTCTGCAAGTTTGAGATGGAATTAAATTGCCCTGGACAACTAAGTAATGCTATTTAGTGTTATTCTTCTTCAGGGCATTGATACTTTTCTAAGTAAAGGTGAACCGATATTTAAAGAATGTTGATTTGAACTATGCCAAATTATTGATTTGTCCTGGTCCAACCCAGGTTACAATTATAAACCACAGCTATGAGTTCAACTTAGTCAAAATGGTGCCCTGGAAAATTAAAATTTTAAGAGCACTGTCCAATGGTCTACAATGAACCACTTCTCTTTTAAAGCTCAGTATTCTTAAATTCTCTGGAAGTAGATACTTTATCCTTGCCAAAAGAAAAAAAAAAAAAGAAAGAAAGAAAAAAGAAAAGGAAACCACTAGGAGATTCCCTTTCAAAGAAAAAGAGCAATATACTACTACCCAAACAAAATCAACATTTTTCTTCAGGGAAAAGGAAAAATAGAAAGAACAATCAAGCACCTATTCTTGAACTGAAAAGAATTATACTTGATGGTCTATTTTGTATCCTCATATTTAATTCACACAATGATCCAGAGAAGTAGGTACTGTTATCCCCATTTTTTACACATGAGGACACTGAAATAATTCATCCAGGACACAGAGGTTTAAGAATTTGTCTGGATTACACAACCAGTTTGAGCAGAATTGTGTCATAACTCCATGGTGGGCCGATTCCAAAGTCCATGTTCTTTCCATGACACCAGGTATTAGGCAATATTTATCTGTGTGTTCCTTATACTTACATCATCACTTTGGCTTCTTCAATGAAATCCTCTTCCGACATAGAGCCTTCATTGATGGCCTTGATAGCTACCGGGAGATGTGCTCGCCATTCACCTAAGTGAACCACCCCAAACTGACCGCTTCCAATCTCCTTGATAAAAGCCAGTTCAGTCGGATCTATCTCCCACTTTTCTGGGAAAGTAAAACATCCATGTTACAAGGAAGGGAAAGAATGCTAAAATTTTAGAGTTAGAAAAGATTAAGGAATTATCTATTCCTATCCCTTTATTTTACACAGTGGTTAAAAAAAATATAAATGAGTGGAGAGAGGGTATAACGAATTTTAATACTCTCATTGTGGGTTACCGGTGCAATTCAAAACATTGAGTTTAAAAATTCAAACTCTACTTCCTTGGAGAGCAATGTCCAACAAAGTGAGGATATCAAAACATGTATAAGAAATGAAACACATTTCCATGCCTTTCTAAACTAAGCTGACCAAAACTAGGTCTGGGACATAAAATAGGTATGTCCCCAGTTTGGTTGTGTCCTAGTGTTAACTTGTAAGGCAGATGAATTTTGTGATACTCCCTTTCCTCCTTTCAGCCCCTTCTAGTGTTCTCCCTCACTTCATCCTAAAGAACTTTTCTACCTTGGTGTGTCCTCATCTTATGGAAATCTAATCAATTCATCTAATAAATATGTCCAATGTCAGAACTCTAACCCACACACATCTAAGAGTATATTTGAGGGGCTGGGGTTGTGGATCAGCAGTAGAGCGCTTGCCTAGCACATGCGAGGCCCTGGGTTCGATCCTCAGCACCACATAACAATAAATAAATAAAATATAGGTAATGTATCCAACTACAACTAAAAACTAAATATTTTTTAAAGAGTATATTTGACGTAAAATTTGTATTACTGTGTATTTCTCATTCTATAGAAGCAAATGGGGTGGAGGGGAGAACTATTTCTAAAATAACCTTCTTGAATAGTGTTAAATATCAAATAATTTTTTAAGCATCTCCCTTTTATACATCAATACCAACACCTGCTGGAACTTTAGAGTAATGCACTTAAAAAAAACTATAAGAGCTGATGGCCTCATTCCAACTATATAAATTATTCCTCCTCCCAGGGGTGCATTTGAAAAGGAACCTGGTAGAATATAGTCATCACCTTGGTATTAGCATAAATTTATTCGATAGAATATTATCATAAAGGAAAACAATGAAAAATTACAGTTCATAATTTCATCTGTTCATCAAAACACCGCATTGAGAAAGCAAAAAGGTAAGTCACAGACTAGGAAAAGATATTTCTAAAAACATATATCCATATTTATATTCCTATTTAGAAAATAAATGAATTAACTAGAAAAGACATGTAGCAAAAGTTATTTGGTCATAAAAGAGAATTCCAAATGGCCACTAAACCTATGAAAGAGTGATCAAAATAAATACTCATTAGGAATATACAAATTTAAGCCATAATAAGATACTACTTCTACACACTCACCAGATTGGCTAAAATAATGGTGTTTTTTGTGTGTGGTGTTTTGTTTTGTTTTGGTACTGGAGATTGAATCCAGGATTGCTTAACCACTGAGCCACATCCCCAGCCCTTTTTTAAATTTTTTATTTTGAGATAAGGTCTTGCGAAATTGCTTAGGGTCTTGCTAAGCTGCTGAGGCTGGCTTTGAACTCAAGGTCTTCGTGCCTCAGCCTGCTGAGCTTCTGGGATTAGAGGTGTATGCCATCATAGCCAGCTAAAATGTTTAAAAAAGAAAAAATAATAATACTGAATATTGACAAGGTTAAAAATATGGAGCAACTGGAATTCTTGTACATTGTATGTGGGAGTGGAATTTGGTATAAACTTGGGAACCTAACCATATCTACTAAATCTAAGCACGTGCATACCCTGTGACCCAGTAAGACTGCTCTATGGTATATATCCAACATTCACTGGAGCACATATGCACACTTAGCTTCATCTAAAGATGTCGAGTAATGTTAGTAGCAATACTGTTTGTTAGGACCAAAAGTTGGTCAAAACCCAAATGACCGTCTAACGACACATGAGTAAATCATTAGGGGGTCAGTCCTGGAATATAGCACCATGTCACAGCAAAAATGAACCTACTATGGCCAGCACCATGGGTAAAATTCACAGGTGTAATGAAGACAGGAAGAAGTCAGACACAAATGGATATATAGTGTCAGATTATATAATATTTGATATATAAATAAGGTGATCAAAACAAGGCAAAATAGATCAAGCTATAGATACTAACTATGCACTGTTTTATATGTGGCAAAAAGTGGAAAAATTTATTTCTAAGAAATTAAAGAGCATCTATTTAACTTAAATATGTGGCTGATAGTGGCACTTTTATTATATATAGTTTCTACAGGGCAGAGGAATGATGGAGGCAACCTGAAATCACCCTTCCATCCACTTCACCATACAACACCCTGATATAATTATGTCATCATGATTTTCAGCATAACCTGAGTACCACTAACAAGAGAGATTTAAGGGAACAAAATACTGCCAGATTATTAAACAGGACTCCCTGGCTCACTCTTATTCTCACAGATTCACAAATACCACTTTCTATAAAAAAGATGAAAAAGACACTTTTAACAGTATTTTTGGTAGGTTCTCTTGGGGTTCAGTTGTTTCCCAAACACCCTTGTAACCAGAGAGTAACAGCCTGAACATCCAAATAAAAAGAACTGTCATTTATCTAAAGGGTGAAGATTAAGTCTCCTGGTGACATGGAGTGAAATATGAAGTATTTCTCCCTGGAGTTGAAATTGCCTTTATGAAATGCATTATTTAAACATGGTGGGAGGGTTAAGCTTTGAAAAGAAGTTTATCTAGATAGACATTTCAGAAGGGCTGAGGATTTAAGGTGTCTACGGTAGGTTCTTTACTAAGTGTGCATACCTTACCATAGCTAAAGCCAGCTGTGGCTGGTAAACAACCCATCAGTCCAACTGGGCAGCGGAGGCGGGTCAGGAGACCTGCGGAGAAAGAGAAATCTGTTTCAAGCCTAGTTACTAATATAGAAGAAAGAAAGAGACACACCCGGAGACAGTACTATTCTTTTAATAATTTGGCATAATAATGCTTTCTACACATTATTCTGGTTGCTTATTCTTTCCATTTGAAAAACATTTTTTATAAAATAATGTATGTTCCTGGTACACAACTGAAAGACAATGGAAAATATAAAGATCCCTCCTCACAAGATCTTAGTGTCAAGAGAGAAATGGTTGCCACTTTGGTGAAAAATCTTCAAAAGAATGTTTATATACACAATTGAAAGTATATACACATTCAATATATTTTATGGAAATGGAAATGTTTTGTTATATGATTTTTACAGTATGTATGTAATTTATGTATACCAATGACTATAAATAGACCTTAAAATTATTTCTAAAATTTCACTAGTATAAAATATGCTGTATATTCTTTTTATTATTATTATTATTATTATTATTATTATTTTAGTTTTTATATAACCTCCCCTCCTTTCTCAATAGATTTTATTTTTTAGAGCAAGTTAGGTTCATAATAAAATTGTGTAGAAGGTACAGAGATTTCCCATATATTCCTTGCCCCTGTACTTGCATAGCTTCCCCCATCATTAGCATCTCCCACTCAGAGAGATGTTAAAACTAATGAACTACATTGACACGTCAGTATCACCCACCGTCCATCATTTATGGGTTGATGCTGCACATTCTGAGTTTGGACAAATAGGTAATGACATGTGCCCACCATTACAGTATGATGTAGAGTAGTTTCACGGGCCTAAAAATCCAGTGTCCCACCTATTCTTCACTCCTTCTCCCTTCTAAGTGTTTAGTCCTATACACAGTCAACCAAATTGAAACTTTTTAGTCAGATTTCTGCAGAGTGCTGTATATTCTTGAACATACATTTATATGTACTTCTCAAGTTATTGTCTTATAAAATGTGATTTCAGGTTGAACAGTGTACAGAAAGGCTACTGCAGTTCATTTGACCACCACCAGTGTTTAAATGTACCCATTTCCTTACCCCCACCCCTTTGAGAGTAGTTCACTTTTTTCTTTTCTTTTCTTTTCTTTCTTTTTTTTGTACTAGGGATTGAACCCAGGGGCACTTAACCACTGAACCGTATTCCCAGCCCTTTTTAATATTTTATTTAGAGACAGGTCTAGCTGAGTTACTTAGGGCCTTGCTAAATTGCTGAGGCTGCATCAGCCTCCTGAGCCACTGGGATTACTGACGTGCACCACCGCACCCAGCTTAGTAGTAAACGCTTTTGAAAAATAGCATGGTAAAGTAAATGGGACTTCATTTGACTGGGTCAATGTGCAGAATTCTAAACAATCAATTTCAATTTAGTTCAATAGGCACTTATTGTTTATTTTTTTCATTAATATTCACTAAGAGCCTGGCATGAGTCATTTACTATCACAATGTTCGGTCCCTCGGGGGCGGGAAATAAACAAGTGTATGCACACAAGAAAAGGTAGCTGAGGATAGGTGAAAGCAGAGAAGATAAAATACAGAGACTGTAGATAGTTGCTCAGGGAAGCCCCTCCTGACAAGATGACAGTTATATGGCTTTGGTTGACAAGGAGTCATCTCAGAAAGATCCAGAGAAAGATTCTTGCAGGCAGATGGAACAACATGTGCAAAGACTGGAAGACAGAAACAAGCTTAGCCAGTATAAAAACAGAAAGAAATTTTTCTATTAAGTGCCTACTGAATGCAAGACACTCATCTAGGCAGATCCAAAGATGAATAAAACAAGGTCGCTCTATCTCAGTGAAGAAGGAAAGGAGAGGCTGTTCCAACATCAAGCACTGTGCCAGAGATGCACGCAAAGTTTGCTGGGATGTAGAGAAGGAGCACTGAACACATGGCTGGATTTTAAAAAAGAAGTTTTATGGGAGGAAATGACACCTGAGGTGAATCTGATAAGTGGAGTAACTCACAAGGAAAAAACTGGAAGGACATTCTAGGCAGAGGTGACAGCATGAATGATACTGAGAGATGTGAAGCAGGAAGGTGGTACTTGAACAAAAAGCAAGAGGTAGGGAGAGGCAACAAGTTGTACTTGAGAAGTAGAAGGATTTGTGGTTGTGATGGGCCTTGTAAGTCATGCTAGGGAGCATTGCATTTTCCTGCAGGTGGGAGAGAGCCATTGAGATGTCCCAATTAAGGAGGTGAAATATTCATATTTATATTTTTGATAGTTCACTCTGGCACCAGAACAGGGTTGGATTAAGGGTGAAAAAGCATCAGAGACAATGACAGCAGTTAAGAGCCTACTGCAATTTTTCACCTGAGCACTGATTAGGGTAGCACTAATAGGGAGAGGCAAGGGTCAGAGGAGACACTTTTAGGGTATGAAATTAATTCCACTTAATAATTAATAAGAAGTTAATAAGAAGTTAGGTGTTGAGAATAGAAACATCAACTACCAACACATCCAGTCTCTTTAATTGGCTACATGATGGCACCATTGCCTGAGATAAATAACAGCAAGAAGCCTAGATTTGGAGGGAGAGAGAGGGTATAAGATGAAGGACCCAACTTCATCACTGAAGTTCAAGGCCAGAGAATTCCAAGTGTCTGTGTCCACCAGGTAGAATTATGCAAAGGGAGAACCCTAGGGTGAGACGACGAGTGATCAAGGATGGAACCCCATGGAACATCAGTGTTTAAAGGAAGAAAAGAAGGACTCTTTGGGAAGATTCATAGGGAATGATGTGAATCAGAGAAGACCAAGAAAGGATGATGTCAAACGTCTGGGGAGCAGGAAATTCAAGAAATGTCACCACCAGATATAACAAAAAAGGCTGGAATATAGGAGCACTTGAAAGCTACACTGCATGCGCCCAAGTGGGGGTTACTGGCAAAGCACAGAGCTGTGGCGGCTGGAGGTAGAAGCCAGATTCCACAAGCACACCAAATGGAAAGTGAGGAATTGGAGGCAGTCGATGTAGACACATTTATTTTTTCAAAAGTGTGACTAAAAAGAGCAATACACACACACACACACACACACACACACACACACACTCACTCAACAGAAGTTTGTTTTTGTTTCTAAAATAAAAATGTCTTAAGGGGTAGGAGGACTGTAGGAGAAGGTTAGGGGAAAAAAATAGAAGAGTGAGCAGAGAGAAAGGAGCCCCAGCAGAAGAGGAGAGATGGGAACAAGAGCACAGGCCAGGCCTTGGCCTCCTTACTGTTGGAGGGTTGGAGGGAATGAGGGTGATGGCGGTGACAGGAGACAATGGAGGAAGGTCATGCTGAGCTGCTTCCATGTTCTTAATGAAGAAGACAGCTAACTGATGTGCTAATAGGCCAGGGATGACTGTTGGAAAAGGCCTTGAGGAGAATGTTAAAAGTTTGAACAAAAAAAACAGAAAACAGTATTACCTAGCAACTCTGAATACCTACTTGAGGTTAGAGCTTCTCCCTAGTGGAGTCTGTATATACAGTTGTTGTTGTTGCTGTTGTTGGACACAAGACCTTTAATTTATTTATTTATTTTTATGTCGTGCTAAGGATCGAACCCAGGGCCCACATGCTAGGGGAGTGCTATACCTCTGAGCCACAACCCCAGCCCTCTAGGTGAGTCTTCATAGCACATGATTCAAGTAATTAAAGAGAGGAATTGGAGAAATTTTCTCTAACATCCCAGTTTTTATTTGCCAAATATTTTTATCCTGGGAAATACTACCAATGGATTAGTGATAGTCTTTCTGTGACAGAAGGAAGTCTGTCACTCTCTTGGCTTTGTCCTTACTTCTGGGTAAGGTGGTGAATCATCGTGGGTTTATATGTTTATATGTACACAGAAAAAGTCAAAGTTTAGGTAGTAATTTTTTAAAATAAGGAGACAGGATCGCCATGGACTCTAATTCACAACTTTTCTAAAACTGAACCCTCCAAAATATCCTCCAATGACATGAGTTGCCTCTTTCTGAAGGATACAATAGACCCTGGAGCCAGAGGGCTCAATGGTTTCAATAGTTTCCATTTCTTCTGTGGGTTCAAATCTCAGCATAGGTACTTATTAGCTATATACTTTGAGCAAGTTATCTCAAAGTTACCTCAAGTTTTTTCATCCATAAGATGAAAATCTCAACAGCACCTACTCATAGGTTGCTCTGAAGATTAAATAAACATAAAAGCACTTGAAACAGGATTTGCCCCAAAGTAAATCTTTAGTAAATATCAATTATTTCTGGGGCGTATGACTTTCTTCTTATCCTTATCACCCTTCTTTCTTGTTTTCTTATTTCTTTTATAGTTTATTTTCTTTCTTAAAAAAATAGCACAATGGTTATGAATTTTTTTCTTTTTTCTTTTGTAGTTGTAGATGGAGAGCATACATTTATTTTATTTGTTTTATTTGTTTATTTGTTTTACTTGTTTATTTTTATGTGGTGCTCAGGATCGAACCCAGTGCCTTACACATGTTAGGCAAGCACTCTGCCACTCAGCTACAGCCCCAGCTCCTGATTATCAATTTTTATCTCCTGTTTTCACTTTTTTTTTCTTGTTTCAGTTTTTTTTATTTTTAAAATTATCTTTGTGGTATTTTGTAGATGATAAGAATGATATACATGCATTGTAATTCTAAAAACTCTAAAGCCATCTATAAAGCAGAAAATAAAAGTGTCCTTTACTTCCAGTCTCAGTTTCCACAGATAAACATTAACAATTTATAGTCTATTATACTCTTGTTTGTAAATCATATATATGCTTCTTTTTACCAGGAAAAAAAATGGCACTATGATCTGAATATATTGCTTGGAAATTTTTTTTAACTTACCCACATTTTTAATGTTAGTACATTCTAATCTACTTCATTATTTTTCTTAACATCAGTTTTTAAAATTATTTTCTTTGAAGGAAGGAGAAGGAGGAATGAGCAGAAGAAACTCAGAGCCTGTCTCCTGATTCAGGGGGTTTGTATCTCCAGCCACACCTGTGGCCTCCCAGACCTCCCCCTCTCAAATCACACTCCCTGTGACCATCTAGAATATCCATGTGGGCTCATCCTATAAATGGATACAAATTTCTTTGGGTTTATTCCTAATATTTAGGGCCAGTTTAATGGAAAAGTGGTCTCTTTCCAGAAAGGATTATTTTGGTCAACACCACTTTTCATGAGTGAAATCAAAACAGCACTGCATGACAAAAAGTCAAAGTAATATGAAAAGTCACAGTGGGTTCCAAATGCTGTAATGCTGACATCAGAAGATTCCCCTGTGGACTCATAGTGATCCAGCCCACAATGAGTAGGGGCTGAAGGCCAGAGATGTGGTTGCCATTGTGGTGGAACTTTCTGGAATCCTATTATCTTTCTGCAGATGATAGGTTTGCACAAATGACAATGTGGCAAACAATAGCCGGGAAAGGAGGTTAAATATTTCTTCAGTATATTTAGGCCAAAGTGAACCTATAAAAGGCTGGATTTTGTTTAACTTTCTCTTTTCTCCAAACTAGAAAGAACAGAGAGAGATTTAAAGAGAGTTTTCTGTTACAATTGTCTAAAGTAGAGAGCAAACCTAGGAGAGGAGAGTAAAGAGAAGGAGGCATGATCATTTAGGTCATTTGAAACCTTATTACATTTTCCCCTACATAAATTTCCAGAACAAATGCATAATGACCAAAAGGCCTTTTGCTTCTCAGCCACCCATCATTTTTCTAACATGGTAGAAGTTTGAGAAATAGACTCACTTCTTGCCCCTTCACACTAGAAAAACAAAGGCACATCAATGAAGAGGACAGTGGCCCAGAAAACAGTGTTTTCCAAGTTCCTAAGCTCTTTGTAGAGGGAGACTTATTCCTGTTGAGTGTCTGATACCCACCATGCATTGCTGTCCAGAGCCTGGCTCCCCAGCCCTCCCAGCCCCATGTCCCTCACTTACCAGCGGCATTGTGCTGGTGATACCAGATCAACTCAGGCACTGAAGGAAAAAGGTGTCTTTCAGCCACATACCACTGTCCGGAATCATTCCTTTTAATCTGATAATGTTTTATTGTAGCCTCTGTACTTCTATAGCAGATAAAATGTGAATTAGTAAACAATCAAAAGGTCACTTTAGAACTAAGACAATTCATTAAGCAGCAGAACTCAAATTCTCATGCCATCAACACCATACACTGAAGAGAAGATTGATCAGTTTAACATGTGCCTGACCATCCTCGGAAAATTCCTCAATGGTCTTATTGAGGCCTCAGATTCAAACATAACTTCAGCCAATACTATTTAGGTGAAAAGTTCAATGTCCAAAAAAGTGGAGCTCATCATGGAATACAGAATATTTTGAGCAACTTCAATCCTTCTAGGAATCTATGACAGACTGGAGAACATACCTCAGAACTGCCCCACAGAAGCACAAAAAAAAACCCAAACAGACAGGTGTTTATCCACCAGCTCCCATTCCTCATTGATGGAGCGCTGCTCCTGATGTAACTGCAGGTATTTCCAGCCTAATCAATGGGTCCTATTTTCTTCCACAACCAGAGAACATTCTCAGGCAGGAAGACATGGGAAGTTTTCTAAGAGAAAAAACCTCCCTGCAGGTCAATCCCAGAGTAGACCAAGAGACAGGAGGAATGCAGCAATAGTATCTTCTACACCTAACCTTATCTAACCCCTTTATTTGATGGTTGAGAAAAGGAAGACAAAAGAGGTCACAGAGCTAATATAATATCACACATAGCGTGTTTGTTAGGATACAATGTGGACTGGCTAGTCCTGACTTTCAGGCCAGCAATCCTCTCCCTAAACTAAGCTCTCACCTCTATTCTGTACATGATGGTGTCACCATAAAAACAGATTGTCCTAGGGCTTATATATTAACCAAAGTCACAGCTGCTTACCTTCTAGCTCTTATAAACACGGAAATGGTGTAAGACCCCAAATGTCTTGAATCTCTGACAATAAATGCACCTTCTTTAGCCTGAAAAACAATTTATTCATTACATAAGTCTATTCCTGCTCAGAAAGACAACATTATGTCTTGGTGATGAAAACCAAAGCTATACCAACTTACTATAAGTCACTAACTATATTCGTACTATAAAGAATGAGACTGAAAGTACACCCAATGTTTTATATCCCCTATAGGTTTAGAAGTCACATTTCTAAAAGTGGTATAATTTGGACATGAATTTATAATGCAAGAGTATTTAAAAACATTCTGATTTTTATAAAAAGAAAGTTCTGTATCTAAGAATCTTGTACCCCACTTATTAGTTATTTTATTGTATTAATTGGGACAACAGATAAAAATAGCTGATTGATAAGATGAACTCTGAGACTGACAGGCCTGTACTTTGGAAGAAGAGAAATAAGGTAGTGGATAGGATGAAGGAAGCAGGTAAAAGTATTTTTGGAAAGACAGAGAATGGATGGAGAGATCATAGTTTATGAGAAATAATGGATTTGGGAGAGTCTGAGGGGAGAAAGAAGTTGCTGTAGGGGTGGGAAGAAATGAAAAGAGAAATGGCAGGAGAACATTTCAACAAGTGTGATACTAAGTTAAAAAGCAGGTCCCTGGGGGCTGGGGAATATATCTTAGTTGGTAGAGTGCTTGCCTTGCATGCACAAGGCCCTAGGTTTAATCCCTAGCACTACAAAAAAGAAAAATTATATATATATTCATTCCTATGGATATTCTTCTAGAGACTCTGATAAGGTTGAAAATTGCTTTAAAATAATTTTGAATATTAGATTCTTTTGATTTCTTTGTTTCCTATTATGAAAAGTTTCAGTCTCCCTGGATATGTTTGTTTTCAAGTGGGAAAACTTTTGGAATCATGTCAAACCCATGACAGTTTACCCTTAGGAAGTGCTGTGCCCCTTAACCTGTGCTTGCAAACTGTGTGACCCAAAGAGCAAGGTCCCCTCCAGGTGCCTATAATCCATCGCCAGAATCTTTTCCTCCTCCTACCAGGCATAAGCCTGATTCCCTGGTCCAAGTGTTTTAAATAAAAGAATCTCCTATAGTCATTTGAAATTTTAAAATCTATCTTTCATTGAATTCCTACAATGTTCAAGAGTTGTGTTATATATCAAAGGGCAAAGATGTAAAAGACAAAGATATAAAAAGCAAAGGTGCGTGTACAGTTTAGATTGCATATACAATAATATATATACATGTCAGTATATGTAATATGCAGATAATAAAGTTGCAGTAGTCTCCTCTTACAAAGAATCAAAGTTTAAAGAACACAAACAGTATTTCCTGATCACAAAGCATTAACACTAGAAATTCCCAACAAAACCCCAAATAAAATGCTCCTACCTCCTATAGATTTTTAATTCTCTCTCTCTCTCTCTCTCTTTGTGGTGATAGGGATTGAACCCAGCACTCTACCAACTGAGCTATATCCCCAGCCCTCTTTAATTCTCTTTTATATAACTCAAGGAAATTAAATAAAAAATGAAAATATCCAGAAGATAATAAGGAAACATCATCTTTTGCTATGCAGCTCTAACAGTACTCAGAAATAAATCCAGTGTTATTATTTATACCAATAAGTAAAAGAAGTAAAAATAAGCATAGCCAACTCAATAAGTTAGTTATAAAATCCAAGTACAATAGAAGAAATAAGTTAAAAAGATCAAAGATAATAAATTATTTTTAAAAAGTAGATAAAATATAAATTATAATTATGATAGATAATAAATTATTTTTAAAAAGTACAACTAACAATTAAGTTCAAAGTCTGGTTGCTCAGGGAAAACAATAAATAAACAGCTAATTCACCTAATCAATAACTAATGGCAAAAGTTTATAAAAAATAAGTCATAAACCAGGTATGGTGGCACACACCTGTAATCCCAGTGGCTCAGGAGGGTGAGGCAGGATAATCTCGAGTCCAACCAGCCTCAGCAAAAGCAAGGCACTAAGCAACTCAGTGAGACCCTGTTTCTAAATAAAATACGAAATAGAGCTGGGGATGTGGCTCAGTGGTCAAGTGTTCCTGAGTTCAATCAAAGGGACTCCGTCTCCAAAAAAGTCATGGGTACAAATATGCAAAAATCCAGAAAAAAATAAAAATTTACTAGACTCTATACAATAAATTTGAAAACTTGAATGAAATGGATAATTAATTAACAAAACATAACTGTCTTAAAATTTAGTCCAGAAGAACTGAAAGTTTTAATGAAACTATGAATAAAAAAATGGATGTTTTTAAAGAGCTAAATTTAAAAGCACCATAGTTACACATTTTGATGTATTAAACCTTAAAAAAAAGTACAGAGATTAAACTAATCCTGAACATATGAAAAGAACAAAAACTTCTAAATTTATGTACAGGTTGAGCTTAATATCAATACCAACAACCCAACTGTGCACAAACAAAAGTACTGACCAGCTTATGTCAACTTACATCACTTAACACAAAAAGTCTAAATAAAATGTTAACAAATCAAATCCAGTAGCACAAAAGAATAATACACCATGACCAAGAGGGTTTGCCTACAGGAATGTCAGAGAAATTCAGTGTTGGAAATCTCATTAATAAAATTTGTCATATTAACAGATCTGAGGGAGGAAAAAAAATCACAGACATCTCCAGAGATGTTGAAAAGGCATTTGACAAACTCCAACTTCTAGTACAACTTTTAAAAATTCTCAGTACAACAGGAAGATATTTGTACTTCCTTACACAATAGCATTCTTTTTTTACTCTAGTCTCAAGTCTTTTATTATGCTTTATGTGGATATCATTCCAAATAATATCAGGAGAAAAAAATCATGCCCACTAACAACACTGGTATTTATACTATTCTGGTAACACTAGGCAATGAAATTCAATGAGGAGCAAAAATTAGAAGTATTGTATTAATATTATAAAAGAGTAATTGAAATCATCACTATTTGTTGCTGGTAAGATCATGTATCTGAAACCTAAGACAATCCAGTGAAAAACTACCAAAATTATGAAAACTCACCAGCATTATTGGATACAAAATTATTTCACAGAACTCAAAATCTTTCATAAATAAAAGCAAGATATATTCATGTATGATAGCAACACAAAAGATAAATGTACAAGCTACATGAGAAAAACTCTTTTCAAAAAAAATTAAATAGGAATAGATTGGAGATATAAATACACAAAAAAAACATTAAGTATCAAGAAACATAAGAGTTTGTTGTTGTTATTGTTGTTGTTGTTTTCTGTGTGTGTGTGTGTGTGTGTGTGTGTGTGTGTGTAACCTTAGAGTAGGGAAGATAATTCTGACACAAACTCTCAATTCTTACAAAAATTTTCCTGACAAATTCAAACATACATAATTCAAATATTATTTATGCCAGAAAACCATAGAACAATTAAAAAACTGGAGTAAATATTGTCACACCACAAAGATTAATTTCCTTAATATAGATACATAGGTCCTGCAAATTCTTAGAAAAGGATAAAAAATAGAAAACAATGCAAAGGATATGAACAGTTTACAGAAGAGAGAATACAAACATAAAAAATTTAATATATGAATGATATTTAAAATCCCCAGAATAAGAGAAGTGCAAATCAAATCCACACTGAGATGAGGTGTCAAAAGCAAAGATCCAGATGTTTCCTATAAACCACTGGCTGGAGAGGTTATGGGAAACCAGACACTCTTCATTTCTGATAGGTATTCAAGCTGATACAATTCCCACAGAGGGCACTTCAGTCTAGGAAAATCAGAAATGGACATTCTCTTTGAATTTACTAACATCATTTTACAAAAGCCTGTCTATGGGACCATGCCAGGGAAACACCATATTTATTTCAATTTCCTCTTAGCAAACAAAGCTCTACCCCAATATTGCCTGAGGCTGGGTCTCTGACCCTCATCCTGTCTGTCCCTCTGCAACAAAGTGAGTCGATCCTGCTCCTGAACCATTACAGGTATTGAGTTTTAGTTACAGAACTGATTCTTTCTCAGTCACATTTCAAGATTTCCTCAACATCCAACAGCAGTGCTTCATGATACAATACCTCTTATCTAGTTTCTAGTTTTGACTCTATGTTTCCCCACAGTTAATATTTACCGACTATTGGAAATTTAACTATATGCAGTTTTGTTTTGGTTTGACCTAAATGAGTAGTTCTGATCTGAATTTGATATTTTGTCTACCCTACTCTCCCCTTGTTTCCAAAGAATGAAGAAACTACTACATCATGTATTTTTCTGTTTGTGTTTTTAATGAGTGTAAGTTTGTGAGGTTAGAGAGTATATTTAATTGCTTTTGCAGCAGAGGTTATATGAGCAACTCAAATACAAATTCTACAGGCAGAAAGCATGTTAGAATGAATGAAGGAGTCTCAGTACATTGAAGTTGAAATCATTTCAGGAGAAATAGATTTCTGAAATTATGAAGAAAGTTAATGGAAAACATGATGTGACATAAATATATTTGACTTACCAACTTACCAAGAAACACGTATTGGGGATGAAGTCGTAATAAGACTTCAGAATTAGAAAGAACAAAAAGCAAGACACCTTGTTAGTTGGTTAAAGTCTTCATAATACGCTTCTCTCAGACATTTTGAAAATATTCAGATTTATTCATCACTACAATGATAATTACCTCCTGTTTCAATAGACGTTCTGCCTGATTTCTGGTAATGTTCCTATGGTACCACCTATAAAAGCAACACAAATAATGTTTAGATTTTTTATTAAATTTTTTCCAAAAAAAAAAATCTGACCTCTATTTCCTTCATTTTAAAGACCTTGGTTCAGAATTAATTTTAGAAAGTTCTGGCTTTTAAAATTCAGATAAATTATGATACAGTAAGTATTACAGGACAACTGACCAGGTTTAATACAATTTTACTAATTTCAGGCCTGATTGTCTGGTTATTCTAGCATAGCTCATTCAAACTTTCTGACATACATGCTTAGCACCTGTATGTAATTTTGATGGACTCAAGATCTTGTAAAATGCCATGAAAGGCTGGTGGGTAAGAAGTCATCATCTTCAACAAATGCTGAGCTTTAGCAGACAAACTAAAAGTCTCAGGAACTTCTTATTTGAGTTCTTTCATAAGTGTTATTTCCCTTTCCAAAATTAAAATTCATCCTAATGTATCTGATTCTCTCAAGTCCATTCCCTCTGAGTAGAGAGGGCAGTTAACAGAGCTCATGGAACGGCCAACATGGGACCCTTGCCCCGGAGCCCTCTCCTGCCACATCTCTTCCCCACTCTGCCCTCGCTCACAAAGCTTTGTCATGTTGGGGCTCTTTCCTCCCCAGACTCACCAAGCCCCTTTCTGCCTTCAATTGTCCTGTTTCCTCTGCATTAAGCACGTCATTAAGTGACCAGAATATCTGAACACACAGTAAACATGATTAAGTCATATTATAAAGTAAACATATAGTTTGATATGACCATACCTAGATAGTAAGCAAATGTTATTCAGAAAGCAGAGAAAAGTGGTAGAACAGGGAGATTTTTAAAAATTGAAAAGTCTTCGTTAAAAAAAACAACATTTTTACAAAGAATTTGGAATTTAACCTAATATTACCAGAAATTTTGTGGATAGTAGAAGAAAGGAGGTGTGTATTTAACTTTGTACTGAGTCACCAACGGCCGGCCAGATGGTGACTAACCAACTCCTCATCTCAACTTGTGGACTTCTCTTCACAGCTGCCATCCAGTCAGAAGGGTCAGTTATCTAAAATACTGATGTCATCAAACTGAAAGTGAACTTTAGGAAGATCAACCACAGACAATGCGAGATGACAGAGGGCTCTGACCACTGTCATCTGACCACTGACCACGAGTGTTGGAAGAAAAGTTACTCAGTGTCACACTGTGCAGCATTCTGAACTTTTTAGTCAATATTAATATTCAACTCAGGAATTTCAAGATGAGTCAGAGTTCTTGTTGTAGGAAGAAAAAAAAATCCTTCAAACTAATGAAGACACGGGGAATTAGCATAAGGAGCCCCCACTGGTTAGGTTGTGAAATTTGGATGTTAAAAGGAAAATAATGATTATAACTCACTCAAGTAAATTGAATCTGTGAAAAGCCGTGACTGCAGGATGATATTCAAGAAGGAAAAAGTTAACATGAATTATATATTTTTTAAAATAATGCTTTTTAAAAACATTGAGCTCATGCTGCTTTTGTGTTGGTGCTAATTATATTACTGGTATTCATTTATCAGTGATAAATAGCATAAGTAAATTGCCAATTTTGTTTAAACATAAATTAAAAATTTATACATATGTGGCTTCATTAGAATGACTTCAAAGTAGTTACCCAAGAGCCACATAGGAATATATCACAAATTCAGGGTCCTAGAAAATAAAGCCCAATTCTGTTAAGTAGTAAAAGGATTCAGTGAAGGTAATTTAAGGGAGGTTGGGAGGATAGTATTTCAAAATTTTATCTAAAAGTCAGAAAAGTCTTTTTTAAAAAATAGGAAAGTCCATAACTTATACTTTTAAAGCAGTGTTTATAACAGGTACAAAATAATATGAATACAGGAGTTGGGGCAGGGCTTCTGTTGATCAAAAAAAAAAAATTAGCAAGTCCAGCTACATTTGAGTCAAAACTTTTGTATATATATATATATATATACAGGCCTTGAGTTTCGTGCCCAATCTTAGATTTCTAATCAATAAATAACAGTATTGGGCTCCTCAGTTTCTGACTTGGAAATCCCACCAAAGCTGAGAAGGTACATCAGTTTCCCTTAGGGAGCTGTTTTATAACCCTGGGAAGATCAAGGACTCAGTGTAGAGATGTGGAGATAAACTCCTATAAGAAGTTCAGGATAATCCATGTTTTGGTATTTAAATTGTCTACCATTTTAAGAGAATCCAATGTATTCATTTTTTGTCTCTGATTTCAAATGCATAATCAATTTAAAACTTGTTATTTGAAGTTGAAGAGAATTTGATTAATACTTAACAGATATTCATACAATTAGGAGAACTTGATTTCTCATATTTACAAGTTTAATTTATTAGATTTGTAGAATCATTCAAAGACTTACATGGGGCTCATTACAATTGTGAATTTGCCCTGTCAAATATGTGAAGTATTTAAAAAGATAATTGAATGTATTCAGTTTATTAATGCTAATTACATGTTTCAGGAAATTTAATTAACTGAGCTTATAAATAGAACTGATTGTTTAAGAACATTTAGTATGTGGAGGGTGAATAAAGGAAACTGTTCTTATTTATTTAAATTTATAAATACCTTTCCTTAGAAAGGTCTTCCCAACTCAACATCCCCATCCACTTTATATATCCTCTTCCCTGTTGTTTTCTCCCACAATGTCTTACAGTCTTCCTTCATAATACTACAATTTAGAATTATATATTTGTTTTTGAATTTAGTGTTGTTTAATGTCTCCATGAAACTGTAAGTTCCATGAAGGCAGGGAAGGTTCTGTGTGTTCCATGTTATATCTCCAGGGCTGAGAACCACTCACATCTGATCCATCTTAAATGTACAATAAACACAGAATTAACAGATAAAGTGATTGGGGGGGCCAATGTAACAAAGGTAAGGCTGTATATTTGCAATACTAAGCAAGGTGGACCAAAATTTAAGTGTCTTTCCTATTTATGGAAAGAATAATAATCCCTAGAATGTAATGACCAATTACTAGATACCATAAAAGACAGATATAATTGCCCCGCTTATGAGATCATCAGAGGTTCAGAACAGCCAGAGACATTTGGCAACTTTGCTTAGAATCAAAGAACTAACCAGTGGTGATGCCAGGTTTTGGAGCCAGTTTCCTCCATCCCTAAGCTCGTATTTCAGTACTTCAACCTGGGGCAGCAATTCTTGTCCATAATTAGAAAAAATGGCTGGCACACATGTAAGTGATCAATCAACTTTGTGATTAATAATGATACCTATTATGACTATATTTTAACAAATTTGGTTTTTTAAATCAATAAAGTTAAAAGTCTTCCCAGAATTAGAATGATTGATAAGGATGATTTTTCAAACATCAAAAAATAAATTTAAGCCCCCCAAAATGAAATGGCAATGGTAACCCCAGAGTTGTTTAATTCAAATGATGTGAAATCTACAGTGTAAGTGAGTGTTGCAGCCAGAGCCCAAGCCTGTTCTAAACAGTGGTGGCCATGAGCAACTTAATTAACAACAACAACAACAAAAAGAAAGTAACAGTACTGGGTAAAGAAGGCACTGACACAGATGACTCCTTTAATCTTCCAGAAAATCCAAATTGGGGTGAAAAATAATCTTATTTTTCTTATTTTTTGTAGCTGATTTTCATCCAAAATCTCCTGTAACATGGCCTTCAAAGAGTCCTGCTTCTGTTGGTCACCCTCCACCCAGGGGGCTATTAGACCTGTGTGAGGCATGCCTGAATAACTATAGATAGTTGTGAAGCTGTTTTCTAAGAAAGGTGTGAGTTCAGCCACCTAAGGGCTTGGCTTTTACTGGGGACTAGAGTCTTGGGTCAGGACTACAAAGCTCAAGTTAACAGAGTGGACACGGCAGATAGGCTGAAGGTAGAGAGAAGACAGAGGACAGTGGTTTGTGGGAGAGAACAGAGAGTCAATGGAGAAGCCTGGTAGAGTTGTCCTGTGATCATCTCCTTCTACTCTCCAATAAAACCTACATTATTCGCTAAAGCTTTTGGAACTGGATTTACTTTAGGGAAGAAAATACTGAATCTGACTTTCAGGTGTGTTTCAATTAGTAGCAAGGCCAAGCAAGTTTCTCTCATTTCTTTGATGTGTGGTTCTCAAAAAGGCCCTTAGTGTGGCAACTCCTATCATCTACTGCCACCTTCTGGAAACATTTGCTAATTGCAAAATAAGTACCTGAGGAAGGAGGAAGCGAATGCTCAAACTGAAAATCTAAATTTATTTTAAAAAACAGGGCTAGTCCCAGCTCTGCCACTTTCTACCTGTAAATTAATCTTTCAGCCTTATTTTCTCACCTGAAAAATGAGGCTCTATAAAAAGTGGTTGTGAAGATCTCCTTGTTTCAAATCTATAATTGTATTAAAAATATCTTTTGAGCAGAACCTTTTTTGAACATGCCTAAGTTTCTCCCAAATGATAGCACTAGCCTAGTTCTTATCTTCAGCAATGTCTAATATACCTCAAAACGTGAGCCAAAATATAGGAATTATTTACATAGTAGATACAATTTACCACTCATTGAAAAATTGAATGACGTTATTTAAAGGAAACTTTCCACTAAGGATATATAGGTGGTTTTTTTGTTTTGTTTAAGTGCGAGATGGCCTCATTCTGTCCCTGTTAAAAAAGAAACCTGGCCATACAAAACAAAACAAAATGAAGTTTAAGAAAAAGAAGTTTCTAAATCAATCATGATAAGGACCAATGATCTCTCTATTGCTAAAACTGTCAAATGTGTTACTTTCTTTTCTTTTCACAGAACAAAATAAGTGTCTAGACTTTGAAACTGCCAGAATGTCCCTGATTTTCATAGGTTTACCACATAGCAAACTTTGGAAGACACTTACTCATATAATTCCAAATTGGTGAGTCTGTTTTCAGTCACATAGTTGCTTGGGATTAAGCCCTCGTTCCTGCAACAAAAGATGCAGCAAAAATCAAAATGTTAAGCACACTTGTGACATTGTCAGGACAAAAGTTCTTTAAACTCCCAAGGATTCAAGAGAAAATCAAATGTGTTTACTGATTAAATTCTCAAAAAAAAGAATAAAACATTTTTTGCATTCCCAACTCATCAAAAATCCCTGTAGAAGAAATACAAAAATCTTAATTTATAAGATGAATAGTTTAGGAGGTTTTGTAACCTCAAAATAGTTTCAAAAAGGGAAAAAAAGGCACTTAAATGATAATTTGAAGTCATAGTGACTAGGTTAAAAAAAAACACGAATTACAAAGATGCTGGCTTTATTCTTTTTAATTGCTGCCACGTATTCTATAGTGTGGACATTCTAGTTCAGCTGCTCCCCTATTGAAAGCAGTAATCTTTGAACATGCCTTCTTGTACACAAGAATATTTCTCTAGGCTGGACCCCAAGCAAGGAATTGCTAAGTCACTAAATATGTGCTTCTTTCAGAAAACACAGCAAAATGCCTTCAAAATAGGATATACCAATTTACACATCTACCAAAAGGGTGGGGGCTGGGGAGAGAGGGCTCTTCTCCTGTGTCTTCATCAGCATTTAAAATTGCAAAATGATCTTCAAGACATGTTATTGAGAAGTAGAAGCAAGTTGCAGGGCAAAGCATGGAGCGTGGTAAGATGTAGGTCAATTAAACCTACAAACGATCCCATATATTTCAATCTATGTGTATAAGCTCATTGAACATGATCTGGAAGGCTGCTCACTAAACGGTTAATGATATCTGCTTTGGGGAAAGATACTGTGTTTGGAGGATGTAGCAAAACAGAATTCCGGCATTATTTTAAAAACTAAATTCATCTAACTATGAAATCAAATATTAATACAGTGTTTTGGGGTTTTTTTTAATCTGAGGCATGTCGATAGTCTACCTACAGAGGTGATTAATGACACAATTTTGAACCTACTAATGCCTCTTTTTCCACTGAAAAAGTCATCACATAATGAGCTTAAACTCAGAACTAAGACAGTCAACATCAGGAAATATAATTCAGAATTAAGGCATGTAAATTGAAATGCTCATAATACTTATATACTTACACTCTCTTAATCTTGTCAAATACCAGAAATCAATGCCAGCTTTCTCTCCCAGAGAACCAAGAAATCCCTCAGAATTCTTCTGAACCCAAGATTATAGTCAGGCATTAGTAATCTATTGCATCTAACATGACGAGATCTATTTGCATGAAGGATCTTTTTTCTTTCCAGTCTCATTCAACAACTACTAGTATGTTTGCCTCCAAAACTAGTCACCATAGAAATATAAAAGTGAATAAGATACTATTTCTGTTCTTACCTTAGAGCTTAATTAGAACAAAAGAAAAATTCCCAACTGAAGAAAGTACAAATCAGAATAAGAACCTGTATGATAGGAATCACTGTTCCCATTTCACAAATAAACTCGGTGTGGGCTAGTAACTTGCCAAGGACCCACAGCAGTAAATGGCAGCATGAGGGTGTGAAGCCAGGTGTACCTGGTTCTGAGCCTCCCTGCCTGCCTGAAATCACGGTGGTCTAATGCTCGGTCTTATAGATGGAGGTAGGGCATGAATTCTATTCCATGCAAAGGGAGGTTATAAAGGAGAAAATGAGCCACCATATAGAGTCTTCTTTATGTTCTAAAGTTTTCAGAGCCTAATGGAGGAGAAATTTGATAAGGACTCAGCCATGAGCCTTACCCTAAACGGTCTCTCGCCTTCCACCAGTGAGGATCATACTTCTCCAAAATCAGGTATTCTTCTGCTCTCTTCAGTGCTAAATTACAGGGTTCTCGGGGCAGGAAATCATACAGCGCCTTGACCTGGATCTTCTCTTCAGCAAGCTCAGAGGGTGGAAGGGGAGGCAATGGCTTGCGTTTTGAAGGTTGCCCACAGCTCCTGTTGGACTGTAAACACAGGAGTAATGTCACTCTTTTTTTTTTTTTCTGGTTAATTACTTTTTTAGCAATCTGTACTAAAAAGCAGTGTGGATACAGCGCATCTACCTGCTACTTCATGTCTCCCACCCAGGTATACACCAAGACAGAAATCAGGGTGGAAGACTGACTAATAAAACAGCTTTTGGAGCCAGCGACACACATCATTTTGTGATTTCTGAGATCACAACTTCTCTTAACAACATCACACTGGGTTTGGCATGTTACAATTCTTAAGAGATGATTGACTCCTAAGTAGTTTCACTTTGTTTTAAGGATTCTTGTGAAAGAAGACAAGTGGCCACCCCCTTTCCTGTGCTATAAGCTTGTATTGAGTTCACCTCACTTCCTGGGAACACTTCTTCTTCTCCCAACACTGAGCTGAAATTTTCTCCTTGCCTCAAAATGGCAGGAACCAAAATGCATTTCTCTTTCCCCATTCACTATTCAGGTTCAAGTTCTATCTTTAAATACAGCAGAGTAGGCTGTTTTAACTGTCCTTTTTTCTTTCTTTCTTTCTTTCTTTCGCTTGCTTCTAGAACATTCACTCGCTATGCATTGAGCACTTGTTACAGGCCAAGCTAATGGTAGGTTCTGGCCCTGGTGACAAGCAGGAATCGCTGGGTGCAGACTACCTTGGACCTGATACTCACATGCTTCTTACTTGACGGTTCGCTGAGCCACCATCTGTGACGCTGAGTGTAGTTTTCTGGAAGTTCTTCATCTCTGCTCAGGCTTATTTGTGTTCTCACTTGTCTGGTATTGAAAAGCAATCGTGTTACAAATAGCTATAAGTATGAGTATCCATACATCCACTAGATTAACACAACCGTAGTAGAGAGATCCAGATATCTAGCCATCTGCTTTTTTATTTAGAAGGTTTCTTAGCTCTCTCTCCTCAGGCCCATTGCCAGTTCTCAGAAGTGGAGTTTCCTTCTCTGAGAGCTAGCGATGCTAAGAGTATGTAGAGTGGTGATGAAATAAAACTGAGAGAACATGTCACAGACCTGTTCAGAGTCTGGTGCATATTAGGGACATAAAATCACAATCACGATAATGAAAATCTTACTGCATCAGGGCCAACATTTATCGTCTTATGCGCATTACCTCATTTGATGGCATCTAATGTTATAAACACACATGGGGTCCTGATTCACAACATGAGTTTCAGTCCCAACTCCAACATTTCATAGTGTGGCCTTGGCTAGCCAGTGTAACCTCTCTAAGCCTCAACTGCCTCATCTGTAAAGTGAGAATTGTAAAAAGAAAAGACCCTGGGTATTTTTGAAAGTTATGTGAATGAATAAATGCAAACCTCTTAGCATAGCGACTGACATGGGGACATTCTTCTTAAATGTCAACTGTTACAATTAACATGGTACCTTGGGTTTAATATTTTACACATCTACTGGACACCAAAGTATAAGATACACCAATAGTTTGAGGGAGATTCTCAGGTAACTAAGACAAGTCTCTTTAAAGGAGAGAAAGTAAAGAGTGGAACACAGACATAAAAGTAATAGATATGAAATAAACGTCAGGTAGAGAACCAAGTGGCACAGCTGTGGGCATATGAGGGAAGGAGTGACTATCTAGAAGGGATGGAGAAAGATCACAGACCACCTGACATTTGACCTACACCTTTCAAATGGTCAGGCAAAATAGGAGAAGGGTTCCCAGGTGGAGAGAGCAGCAGATACAAAGAGACACAGAGACCCAGTAGATAATAAGGAAACCATGAAAGAACTCATTTCCAAGAATTTGCTTTCGGAACAGACTTACCGCTTCTGTACTGAGCAGCAACAGCAGCAACAGAAAATGGACTGGAAGGTATTATCTGAAAAGCAGATCATTCTCACTGTTAGGGAGTCACAAATCCATGGCATTGGATAGATGAAGCTGGGGGTGTTATCCCAAAAGAGGAAGTCCCTAGGGACTTATCAAGCATATGACCATCTTGAAGGTGCCCTCCTTCACTAGTGAAGGACAAAAACTGTCACGAAAGCAAAAAAATAAGTTACTAACACACTGGCCGATGTGGTTTCCCTTCTCAGGCTCCTCTTTCCTGGTCCGGCTTACGCATTTCCTCAGTCTGCATATGATAAATGACCAGTATATTCTTTTTACCTTTGTCAGGACTCACATTAGCTAACAAATGCACAGAAGAGTAGGATTCCAAAGACAGTGTTCTCCTTGGAAATCTCTTAGCAGGGATTCTGAATTAGGTACGTCATATTTCTTTAAGAATTTAAAAAATAGAAACAAACTCTTAAATTTTCAGTGAATTAAGTCTATATATAAACTGAAACTTTAGAAGAAAGAAACTAGCCAGTAAATCTGGGTCATGCTTAGACTTTTATGGCGCAGCTTAATCTTTATTTAATTTCAGTTAAATGATTTGCCTTTTAAAAGACCATAAATAAGTCTTACAATTCAAATGAATGTTTTATTTTCATAGACCTGTATTTTTCAATCAGCTTATGCTCACATTGACACCTGAAAATGAATTATTACTAAGGCAGCAAAGTATGGTAGGAGATGACCTTTAACTTTGAGGTTAGAGCTGGGTTTTAATCCCAGCCATGCAGGTAACTATATCTTAGGTAGGTTCCTTTACCTCTCCAAGGCTATTGTGTGGACTTATTGAATCAATTCATAGGAAACACTAAGACCAATGCCAGCTATATAGTAAGAAGGTTATCAAGAAGGCATATTATAATAGGGTTGTTGTGAAGATTAAAATTAGGTATCATTTTTAAAGTCCCCAGGACACAGAAGGAAACATTATCAGTAAGGATCCAACAAGAATCAGAACACTCAAATTAGAATGCACTGAGTAGACTTCATTTATAAAAAGAAGGTATACAGATGTCCACAGAGGTGAAGAGTACATGGTTGGATGTGCAGGAACAGAATAGAACTGTTCTTCTATTCTATGAAGCCAGATATTGTTGAGTTAAAGAGCACACTGGTGATATATTTAGGACACCATTAAGGCAAACACCAATGAGACCAATAAATAAATAAATAAATAAATAAACAGGTTAACTGCACAGAATGGGTCATCTGGTCAACCTCTGGTTGCCTTTCCCCATTCTGTCTCAATTCTAAGAGTTTCAGCTGCATTTCTCAGGGTGTTTCTTGTCACCAATCTCCCAATCCTACTCATGAAGTTTTTTTTGAGATTTCTGGATCTGCTGGGACCTCTTTCATCATATACCACTTTCATCTTATGATGGATAACTTCTGCATGCCCAATTTCATAGTTCATTGAATCAATAACACTAAGTTCATGATATGCAATTTGAGTCACATAAATATTTTATTCATGGCCAACCATGTACTCTTCACCAGGAGCTACTTTTCAAATGGAAGATCGTTATCAGCATGAGTCAAGAAATTATTCCAAATTCATGGAGATTTGTGCTGCAATTTTCATACTGGGACCTTCCAGAAGCTTCTTATAGACAGCAACTTGAGATGTGTAGAGTGGAGAGGAATGAATATCAAGATGTGGGGATCACTGAGTCATTTTGGGGCCAGTCTACTACATTTTATTCCTACAGGCTCATCCTTCCAGTAGAATAAAATGGAAAAGAGTAAAGATATCCAGGCAGTAATTAATACATATTAATTCCATTCCTTGCAAAGAAGTTGATCTTCCAAACCTAAATTCATGCATTCACTTTTCTATGATTTGGATATTACTATTGCTCATTCATTGAGCCTATAACTTGTTGGTGGTCCAATAATAAATTTTTAATTACTGCCCTGGATATACAGATCAAACAACTCACATTTGCTACTTTACCACTCATGCCAATTTAATAACTTTCTCTCTTCCTTTCCTGTACCCAGAAACTACTTATTTCCCAAGTTCTATCTGAAGGCTTATTTCTGGAAATAAAAATAAAATTCATTGATTCCTAAAAATCTGCACTGCATCATGTTACTCTGTTTTTGGACGTCAGCTGCTTCTGTCAATTTTTATCTGGTGTGTCTGATGGTATCTGCATGAGCAATTTGCCAACAAACAAGCAAAAATACTCCTTGGAGAGAGTGTACATTAGCACTTGAGGGTTCTGTCTATTTTGGCAGGAGTGGATTTAATTGACAGTTTCACCAATTTATTCCAGTGTTGTTTAGAGCCTCATTAGATCTGTATCTATCCGGGCCAAGAGATACAAAATTAAATGTAGGTTACATAGATGAGTGAAGCAGGTTATAATAGTTTAACGTCTGTAGCAAAGTGCAGTGCTCAAGTCCACTTGGAGATATTTGAACTTAAATATTCAAAAATATTCCCTCCCTCTCCTATATCACCATTTTTACCCTTTCTACTGAATCATGCCCATCCACAAATATACTGCTACTTCAGCATATTGGAAAACAAAACAAACTCCTCAGTGATTGTATTTCCTCCATCAGCTTCGCTCCCTGTTAATGGTAACATCTTGAAATGAGTATTCTGTACCTGCTGCCTGCAATTATTTTCCTTACATTTCTCTTACCCCATTCAAGTAAAACTTTTGTAGCTCTCACTTCTAAAACAAATAACAACAACAAAAAAACTATTGTTAGGGTCACCAGTGACCTCGACACCACTAAACCCAATGGTCAGTTCTAAGTCCTTCTCCTCCTAGATGTCTCAGCAGCATTTGGCACTCTATCCCCGTGGGCCTGCTCATTCTCCATTTCCTCTATTGCTACTTCTCTACCTCCCTGACCTTTGCATGACAGACGGCCCTCAAAGTTTTTGATGTCTTTTTTTCTGTCTTATTCACTCCTTTGATTATCTTACTCCCTCCTGTGGCTTAAAAACCATTTATCAGTTGATGACATCCAAATGCACACATCTGGCCCAGTTCTAATGAACTCCAGATTGTGTGCCAAATGCACTCCTGAACTCTCCACTTGGATTTCTAGCAGACACCTCAAACAAACATGGGATGAAATCTGAACTCCTTTTCTTCCTTCCTTCCCCAATTTTCTCTACCCACCCTCCCCTATCTTGTCCAAAGCAATTCCTTCTTTCTTGAAGTCATCTTTGACTCCTCTCTTTCTCTCATACCCAGGCCAATCTGTCAAGAAAGCATGCTGAGTGTTACTTAGAAATATATATATCTTGGCCTAGGAACATAGCTCAGTAGTAGAACACTTGCCTAGCATCATGTGCAAGGCTCTGCATTTGATCACCAGCACAGGGTTGGGGTGATATATATAAAAGTTTCAGTTCAGGATGATGAAAAAGTTCTGGAGATAGATAATGGTAATCATACAATGATACGAACGTATTTAATGTGTTAATATCACTGAAGTAAATGTCTAAAAACTGTTTAAATGGCAAATTTTCTGTTGTGAATATGCTATAGTTTGGGTCTTGAATGTCTTCCAAAAGCTCGTGTTTTGATGGCTTGGTCTCCAGCCCATGGCACTGTTGGGATGTGGTGGAGCCTTTAGGAATTAGGGTCTAGCAGAAGGAAGTTAGGTAATTAGATTAAGGATAAACCCTTGAAAGGGATATTGGAACCTCAGCCTCTCCTCTTCTTCTCCCTTTCCTTCTTTGAAACTATGAACCAAAACAAACCTTTCACTCTTTAAAGTTGATTATTTCAGGTATATCGTAACAGTTATGGAAAGTTAGTTAACCTAATATATCTCACCTCAATTTAAAACATACACATACATACATGCATAATCTCATGGCTTTTTCCCTCCTCATCTGTTACTAGTATGATTAAATCACTGTCAACTCATCTGGCTTACATGAAAAATCTAACTTCTTCTTGCTTCTTATCTTACCAATCAATAGTTTATTCTCAGCAAAGCAGCAAGAGTAATTAACTAAAAACCTAGTAGAGCATGTTACACCTTGTCTGCAAACCCCACAGTGGCTCCCCACCTCACTCAGAGTTACAGCCAACTTTCTCCCAGTGGCCTGTGAAGCCCTCCTGTGGAGTTACACAGCCTCCTGTTGCCTCATCTCACCACCTAGCAAGGCCTACTTCCCTCCATCCACACTGCCTCCCTGGAGCTGCTTCTGGAGCCTGCCAGGCCTGCTCTCACCTTTGCTTTATGTAGTTAAGAGCACTGTGTTCTCAACTGCCTCCACTCTCTCCCAGACTTTGCTCCAATCTCAGCTTCTTGACAGAGTACCCTAATTGTCACAGCCACATAGACTCTTCATGCTGACATTTCTCACTCTGCTTTATTTTTTCTTTTTTTTTCTTATGGCATTTTTCATCTTCCAAAATACTGTGAAATTTATGTATTTATTTCTGTATTGTGCCATCTACATTCCCCCTAGAATGTACATAGAGATCTTTGTCTAATTTATTTATAGTGACATCCAAATAGACTAGAGCCATTTTTGACACATAATACATACTTAATAAATGTTTGCGAGTGAAGGAATGAATGAATAGGTTTAAAGAAGCACCAAAGCATGAGCTTGCTCTGAGAACACACCTGTCTTGATTCAGTCCTAAGGGCAATATGCAAACTGACAGCAGAACAAGCAGGTGCAATTAGGAAATGGTGAACACTTTAGAGGATAAGATTAGATTATGAAAGTCCTTGAACTAAAGAAAGATAAGACTCTGATCGTCTATACAGTAGAATTGTATAGAATTGCTATTGCCCATTTCTACGATATAGACGTATCAGAGTCTACTATGTAGATCGTCTAATGATGAAGAACCATTTGGCTACTGGCCAAGGCAGAACAAACTACACCATCTAGAAACCTTTATAAGATGGTCCAGCAAGGTAATCTGTGACCTCATGTTTTAAAATAATCTTAATCTATTTAACATCATCAAATCCAAAAAAGTATAAAATGTGGTCACATGGC